ATTGCATTCACATGGAGGTAACACGTATCACTCTGATTCATTTCATCCTTGGGAGCAGGGCTAAAAGTGAACAACCATTTGAGGGAGTGGCCAGAGAGGAAAAGGCGTGGTTGATTGGACGCGCAAGCTTTTCACTTTAATTTGGGGGCAGGATCATAATAAATGCTGCTGGACTGTGATTGGCTGAAATCCTTTCCCTCATCTGAAGTCATCTTAATGGACTGGTTTTAGTCGGCCATTAATTGAAGCTGTAGGAGTGGGGCTGGGGGTCTGATCACATCCGGGCTGAAGCCATGGGGAGGAGAGACCACGGTGGGGCTTCCAGGGATGTAGAACATAGAGATGGGACCATGCCACACAGCTCAGCCATCCCCAAGGGCTCGGGAATCAAAAACCAGGGGCCAGTCAGTGAGATCTGACCTGCTGCCAAGGTGAGGTGCGTGGGAGCCCACGGCTCTTGGCTTGCTCCCCTCACTAGAGCATCTGATGGCTGAGGCCCTCAGAGGTGCCCATCACAGCCCATCCCCAGCCCTTTGCAGTGCCAGGGCCCCTCTTGAGATGGCAGCAAGAACATGCGCAGCTGGCCCTGTTCCAGAAATGCAGCCATCGGGGGCGGGGAGGGGTGGTGTAGGGGCATTGGGGGCAGGGAGGAGGCCAGGGTGGGGGAGTCATGCTGCCTCCTGAAGATTTGGGGCCTTTGAACTGCACCATCCTCCCTGCCAAACTCCCCCACTGCCTGCGACTTACTGCACGAAGCAGCTCCTTGCTGATCTAACGGCAACTGAGTGCCTGTTACTCACTGGCCATTGTGTCTCTCGCTAGCCCTGGCCCTCAGAGGAGATAAGAGCTAGAGCCTCCTATGAGGAGCAATTTATAGAGCTCATGGGGTTGGGGCATGTGCTTTGGGGACAGAAGGTGCCCTGGTTCTGTCTCTGCTGATGCAGCTCATGTTGGGTGTGTTCCACGGGGCTAGATCTCCCCTGGATGAACTCATCTGGGACTGGGCATCTCCTCCCAGATGGATTAAAGATTAAAGAATCCTTATTGAGGCTGCAGGAACAAACCATCCCGATGTGTAGAAAGAACAGTAAATATGGCAGGCGACCAGCTTGGCTAAACAGTGAAATCCTTGCTGACCTTAAAGGCAAAAAAGAAGCTTACAAGAAGTGGAAGATTGGACAAATGACCAGGGAGGAGTATAAAAATATTGTTCAGGCATGCAGGAGTGAAATCAGGAAGGCCAAATCACACTTGGAGTTGCAGCTAGCAAGAGATGTTAAGAGTAACAAGAAGGGTTTCTTCAGGTATGTTAGCAACAAGAAGAAAGTCAAAGAAACTGTGGGCCCCTTACTGAATGAGGGAGGTAACCTAGTGACCGAGGATGTGGAAAAAGCTAATGTACTCAATGATTTTTTTGCCTCTGTCTTCACGAACAAGGTCAGCTCCCAGACTGCTGCACTGGGCAGCACAGTATGGGGAGAAGGTGACCAGCCCTTTGTGGAGAAAGAAGTGGTTCGGGACTATTTAGAAAAACTGGACGAGCACAAGTCCATGGGGCCGGATGCGCTGCATCCGAAGTGGAAGATTGGACAAATGACCAGGGAGGAGTATAAAAATACTGCTCAGGCATGCAGGAGTGAAATCAGGAAGGCCTAATCACACTTAGAGTTGCAGCTAGCAAGAGATGTTAAGAGAAACAAGAAGGGTTTCTTCAGGTATGTTAGCAATAGGGTGACCAGATGACAAAGGTGAAATATTGGGATGCAGGTGGGAGAGGGGGGCCGGCGGAGGGAGAAAAAAAAGGAGGCGGCAGAGGGGAAAAAAAAAGCCACCAGAGGGCCCCCCACACACCAGCTCGCCTCGGGACCCCTTGGAAACCTGAGGTATAGTCTGTGGGCCCCCGGGGACCCCAGGTTGAAAACCACTGCCGAGTTGAGCCAGCCCCTCCAACCGCACCGCAGGTGTCAGGGGAGCCCAGCAAGGGACAGGCATGATGGGACCACAGCCGAGCAGTGCAAAGAGGAGCAGAAACGGGGTCCCAGCCGCAGAGCTGCGCCCACGGAATTCTCCAGCGGTGGCTGCAGCAGGTGGGAGGTAGGCCAGGGGGAGCCGAGTGGGGCCGCCGGGCCGGGGGAGCAGCGGCAGCTCCCTGCAGCCCAGCTAGACCCCCTGCAGCACTAGATGGGGGGCCGGCGCGCCTGCAGGGCAGAGTCTCTTTGTGACGGCAGCCGCTAGGCGGCACAGCCCCGACTCCACCCGACTCTATGGTGGCCACAACAGCTGAGCGCGCCCCGGCCCGGAGCTGCCAAGCCCACGTGCTGCGCTAGATCCCCAGGGCAGCCTGGCTTACTTCCCGGCCGCCCTCCCCACCCGGGCCGGGCCGGGCCGGGCCGGGCCAGGCCGCTCCGTGAGCCATGACTGGAAAAAGGCTAATGCAGTGCCCATCTTTTAAAAAGGGAAGAAGGAGGATCTAGGGAGCTACAGGCCAGTCAGCCTCACCTCGCCTTCTACCGGGGGCTCGGGCGGAGGGAGCCGCTGCGGGATCTCTGCCGCGCCGTGCTCACCTTCCTGGAGAAGCTGGACTGGAGCAGTTCGCAGGGTGAGTGCTGGCCGCCACCCCCTCCCTCCAGCGCTTGCGCCGCCATACAGCTGATCAGCGCAAGCCTGGGAGGGAGGAGGAATGCAGCGTGCTTGGGGAAGAGGCAGGGCCAGGGCGGGGATTTGGGGAGGGATCCAATGGGGCAGTGAGGGGGCGGGACTGGGGGTGGGGCCAGGGTGGGGATTTTGGGAGGAATCCAATGGGGGAAGGAGGGGGCGGAGTCGGGGGCAGGGGGGGCGCGAGCCCCTCCAGGCGCCGCCTGTGCGCCGGAGTGGAGGGCAAAATTGCTTGTTTGTCCAGTGTCCCGACCGAACATCGGTCGGGACGCGGGACAAATAAGCAAATATCGGGACAGTCCCGATAAAATCGGGATGTCTGGTCACCCTAGTTAGCAACAAGAAGAAAGTCAAGGAAAGTGTGGGCCCCTTACTGAATGAGGGAGGCAACCTAGTGACAGAGGATGTGGAAAAAGCTAATTGCTTTTTTTGCCTCTGGTCTTCACGAACAAGGTCAGCTCCCAGACTGCTGCACTGGGCAACACAGCATGGGGAGGAGGTGACCAGCCTGCTGTGGAGAAAGAAGTGGTTCAGGACTATTTAGAAAAGCTGGATGAGCACAAGATGTGCTGCATCCAAGGGTGCTAAAGGAGTTGGCGGATGTGATTGCAGAGCCATTGGCCATTACCTTTGAAAACTCATGGCGATCAGGGGAGGTCCCGGATGACTGGAAAAAGACTAATGCAGTGCCCATCTTTTAAAAAGGGAAGAAGGAGGATCTAGGGAGCTACAGGCCAGTCAGCCTCACCTCAGTCCCTGGAAAAATCATGGAGCAGGTGATCCTAAGGAATCAATTCTGAAGCACTTAGAGGAGAGGAAAGTGATCAGGAACAGTCAGCATGGATTCACCAAGGGCAAGTCATGCCTGACTAACCTAATTGCCTTCTATGAGAAGATAACTGGCTCTGTGGATGAGGGGAAAGCAGTGGATGTGTTATTCCTTGACTTTAGCAAAGCTTTTGTTACAGTCTCTCACAGTATTCTTGCTGGCAAGTTAAAGAAGTATGGGCTGGATCAGGGCCAGCTCCAGGCACCAGCGTAGCAAGCAGGTGCTTGGGGCGGCCAATGAAGAGGAGGGCGGCACGTCCGGCCGTTCAGCGGCAATTCGGCGGCGGGGCCGTCACTCTCTCTGGAAGCGAAGGACCTGCCGCCGAATTGCCGCCGATCACAATTGCGGCATTTTTTTTGTGTGTGTGTGTGTGTGCTTGGGGCGGCAAAAACGCTAGGGCCGGCCCTGGGCTGGATGAATGGACTATAAGATGGATAGAAAGCTGGCTACATTGTCAGGCTCAACGGGTAGTGATCAATGGCTCCATGTCTAGTTGGCAGCCGGTACCAAGCAGAGTGCCCCAAGGGTCGGTCCTGGGGCCGGTTTTGTTCAATATCTTCATTAATGATCTAGAGGATGGTGTGGACTGCACCCTCAGCAAGTTTGCAGATGACACTAAACTGGGAGGAGTGATAGATACGCTGGAGGGTAGGGATAGGATACAGAGGGACCTAGACAAATTAGAGGATTGGGCCAAAAGAAATCTGATGAGGTTCAGCAAGGACAAGTGCAGAGTCCTGCACTTAGGACGGAAGAATCCCATGCACTGCTACAGACTAGGGACCAAATGGCTAGGCAGCAGTTCTGCAGAAAAGGACCTAGGGGTTACCGTGGACGAGAAGCTGGATATGAGTCAACAATGTGCCCTTGTTGCCAAGGCGGCTAATGGCATTTTGGGCTGTATAAATAGGAGCAATGCCAGCAGATCGAGGGACGTGATCATTCCCCTCTATTCGGCATTGGTGAGGGCTCATCTGGAGTACTGTGTCCAGTTTTGGCTGAGGCCTACAAGAAGGATGTGAAAAAATTGGAGAGAGTCCAGCGGAGGGCAACAAAAATGATTAGGGGGCTGGAACACATAACTTATGAGGAGAGGCTGAGGGAACTGGAATTATTTTAGTCTGCAGAAGAGAAGAATGAGGGGGGATTTGATAGCTGCTTCCAACTACCTGAAAGGGGGTTCCAAAGAGGATGGATCTAGACTGTTCTCAGTGGTACCAGATGACAGAATGAGGAGTAACGGTCTCAAGTTGCAGTGGGAGAGGTTTAGGTTGGATATTAGGAAAAACTTTTTCACTAGAAGAGTGGTGAAGCCCTGGAATGGGTTACCTAGGGAGGTGGTGGAATCTCCTTCCTTAGAGGTTTTTAAGGTCAGGCTTGACAAAGCCCTGGCTGGGATGATTTAGTTGGGGATTGGTCCTGCTTTGAGCAGGGGGTTGAACTAAATGACCTCCTGAGGTCCCTTCCAACCCTGATATTCTATGATTCCCCTTTAAACGGGCTATCCCAGCATAGATTCATTATTGTTTTATTTGGGGAAGGGAAGGATGGATTCTTATGGCTGGACTGGGCAGTCCCGGTTGATCCCCTAGGAACAGTTGATCATCCTGTGGCAGATCCAGCCGTCTAGCCAGGAATAAAGGGCGCATCAGTGCATGAATTTCCACCACCACCACCACAGGCTCCCTTCTCCCCGAGTTCCATATCTATGAGCCTGCTGAGGTCACAGGAGCCACTCCTTGATCCAGGCGGTCACCTGAGCTCCGTCTTCCCCTCATAGGCAGACTTAGGGCAGATCTGGGAGCCCACAGTGTTTCTGTCCCGCACTGCGACGCAGATGTCAGGATGATGGGCCCGCGCAATGCAGTCCGGACCCCTGATGGGCTCAGTCCACCCCGGCTTCTCACAGCTGACTCCCGTCCACCCGTGGTAGCAGCGGCAGCAGAACTGCCCCCATGCCCTCTGGCCCGGCTCGTCCAGGCCCACATAGTTGTTCAGCATGGGGTCCGCTCCCCACTGCTGCGGGCTGAGGTGCAGGAAGGCTCCCAGCTCGTCGGGGCGCTGCCTCACACACCGTCCATGCCCATGGCACAGCTGGCGGCTGCACAGCTTGGCCGCTGATGTCACGTTCACCACGTAGGGCCCCAAGGTGTTGGTGATGTAACGGCGGAGGCTCCTGCAGCTCTCCTGGGGGGCGGAAAGCCACATTTACACCCAGTTCCGCTGCAGAGGCTGGCATGACCAGGGAGCAAATGCTGCCACCCATCTGCCCCACCAACGACCCCAGCCCTGCCCTGGAGGGACCCCACCTCCAAACTGAGCTAGGTCTCAGGGGCCCATTGGCTCGTGGGCCTCCCTGCCGAGAAAGAGGAGCAGCCAGTGCCAGCCATGCAGGGCCCCAGGGAAGGGATCTGAGAACCCACACACTCATCTCACACCCCTAAGAGTGAGTCCCTCTTCCCAGACATCTCCTACACAGCTGCTTGCATTACGACTAACACATAGGTGAGTAAATGCAGGCATCGGGCCACGTGGCTGGGCACCGTTCATGCCACATGGACAAAGGGCAGGGCCGCCAGAAATGAACGTACAGACTATTGCAGCTCTTAGTATCTAGGTGACGACCCCCTGGCTCTGCTGAGGGCCTGACTGGGGCAAACTGGGGTACTTACAGCTGAACGGGAGTAGGAGTTGTCCCCCCACAGTGCCAGGCCGGTGGCACCGAGCACCGCGCTCTCCCCGATCGTATGGACCAGGTCAGCCTGACCGAGGAAAGAAGGGAACGAGAAAGGGACATTTAGACAAGTAAACTTTGGGCACCAACTCTGGCACCAGTCAGTGGGGGCATGTTACCGTACAGGGCTGTTTTCTTTGCTGGTCTCATGGCACTGGCACCGCATCATCTGTGCATGTGTGAGAGGCAGTGCCCGTGGGACCGGTACCCGCCTGGTTCCGGACAGGTGCAGCGTGGTCCTGAGGGCGCCCACGAGGCGTGAACGTAATGTTTATGTTGGCCTGCAGGTGATATTGGCATCCCCCATGACACTGCATGTGCCCCCAGTACAGCACAGCCCCATGGTACTGTCGGGGCAGCATATGAGCCCCTGGCCCCACCTGCACTGAGCAATGCCCCTCATTCAGCGGTCGGTGTCACTGATGTGCAATGAGCCCTAAGCAGAGATCAAAACAAGCCGGGGTTTGCACTGACTGAGGCCGTGTCTACACTACAAAGATAAATCGACCTATGTAAGGTCGACTTACAGCCACCACATCTATTACTGCGGTGGCTGATGTTCACACTGCCCTCCTTCTGTTGGTGGTGCGCATCCTCACCAGCAGCGCTTCCACTGACTGAAGAGGGGCAGTGTGGGGGACTGAGATCCAGGGAGTGGAAACTGTGTGGCTGAGGAGCCAAGAGCAGACTTTCTTGTCAATTTCACAGCTGCAGTAGAGGCCTGAAATTGACAAGATGGCCAACAGCAGATGTTACTACAGGAAATTCTGTGCCAAAAAATTAAAAATTATGCACATAAAATTTTAAAATTTTGCTAATTGTATTTGTCAATAAATAAATGTGGCTCCAGCATGGGGGTGGGGAGCACAGGCAACTGGCTGCACTGAGGTGGGCGATCTCCCTGAAGCCTTCACCTCCCCCTGTACAGTGCCTGGCAGTGAGGCTGCACCTGACCCTGACACAATGCAAGGGCTGGGCCTGCCCCAGAAATGCCCTGTGGGCCCTGCCCCTCTGCGCCAGGTACACCAGGTGTGGGCAGGTTCAGTGCATCAGGATCCAAGTGTGGAGGGGCTTAGTGTGGGGGGATCCAGGTGTGGGGTGAGAGGGTTCTGTGTGGGGCAATCTGTGTGCAGGTGGCTCAGTGGGAGATCTGGATGCACAGTGGCTCATTGGAGGGTTCCGGGTGCAGGGGCAATGGGACTCTGCAGGAGATCCAGGTGAAGGTGGTTGCGGCTCAGTGGGGGGGTCTGGGTGAGGGGAGATGTGGCTCAGCGGGGGGGTCTGGGTGTGGATGGCTTAGTGGAGGGGGTCCGGGTGCTGGGGGAGTGGGGCTTGATGAGGTGGGGGTTCAGGTGCAGCTGGTTGGAGCTCAGTGGGGTGGGAGCCTGGGGGAGGGCTTGTCGGAGGGGTCCAGGTGGAGTGGGGGGGGCTTGTTAGGATGAGGGTTCGATGGGCCTGCTTAACAGGGGAGCCCCAGTTGCTGCCGAGGGGATGCTGCATGCCGGGTTCCCGCTCGCCTCCCCCCCCCCAGCAATTCCTCTATCCCCTTTTCTTCTCCATTCCCGTCCCCTCACTCCCACATTCCCCTCCCCATGCCCTATTCCACACCCCCTTTCCTTCCCCACTGTCTCTTCTCCCCACCCCATCACTTTCCTCACTCCCCCTTACCCAGCCCCACTGCGGGCACTCACTGTTGCACAGAAAACAGGAAGGCTCCCAGCACACAGAAGGAGAGCCCGACTGGCAGTAGGACCCAGGAGGCGGCATACAGCTGCAGTCAGCAGAGCCCAGATGCAGCCTCCTTCAGCTGGGCAGCTCTGTACTTGCAGAAATGGGGCGGGGGGGGCGGCAATGGCATGTAACCCCATGTATCCCCCATGCCTCGCCTCTGTTTGGGGGGGCAATAATATCCCAAAAACTACACCCATGATCTCCCCCACACACAATGTGTAGCTTCCCTGACATTTTCTGCAGGGAAGCACAGGAATTCTGGGGCGGGGGGGCATTTTCTGTGGGAGCACAGTCACGCAGAATCCCCCCAGGAGTAATCAGATATAAGGAAGGCAGTGTCTACACAGACACTACCTAGTCCTAACTACACCGACATAAGCCTCTCATTGAAATAGTTTTATTATGTCAGCATAGCAGGGGAGTTACATCGGCAAGAGGAGTATTTCAGTGTGTACACCTACACTGTTTTGTCTGCAAAAGCTGACTTTCATTGACAAAACTGTGTAGTGTAGACAAGGCCTGAGGCAACTGGGTGTATCCTGATTACAACAGCCCTCATCCTTGCTAGCCCCGGCTGTCCTAGAGGTGCAGCTTCATCACCTAGTGGCCATCAGCGGCTGATCCAGGGCTATTCCCAACCACCAAGAAGGCTGGAGTCTACTGATGAGCAGGATACCAGGCACATGGATCTCCAGCTCTGGTTCTCTCCTTTGTGTCCCAATCCCTGGCTCTTACCTTGGACAGGTACCTGGCGGAGTGCCGATAGGAGACTCGGGAGTATGCTATCACCGGCAGGGGGTGCTCCAGGCCAAACTGTGCCACGCGGAAGGCCTCTTGCAGGCGGTGGTGAACGTAGCTCTGGCGCTTGGCCGGCGGAAGCTTGGGTGGGAGGTAGATGCTCGGGTAGAGGGCGGTGGAGGCCTCCCAGAGCCACATGAGCCGATTGTTCCGCAGCACCTCCATGGCATGGCACTCCCCCGTGTAATTCCCCCCCTTCGTCCAGTTATCGTTGAAACAGTCAGGGAACCTGTAGAAGCCCCACAAACCCCAGGGCCTCAGCTCTTTCCCCAGCGCCAGCGTCCTCTCCATGAGCTCCTGGGCTGCTCCCTCGAACTCTAACTCGGCCAAGTAGACTCGCTTCTTGGCACGCATCTCTGGGAACCTCTCCCGGACCCACTGTTCAGAGGCCTCCTTGTACACTGCCTTGGGGCCCCAGTTCCGTCTCCACAGCGGCCTCCACTCCTCCCAGTCGACCACGGCCAGCCCGTGGAAGTCTGGCTGCAGGAGCTGGGTGATCGCCGCCGCAGCCCTCTCTAGGTGCTGCTTGAGGCGGACTTTCTGGGGGATCCCCCCATTGTGGTGCTTGCCCTCCAGGGAGATGTAGGGGTAGAGTCCAAACTTGTTCTTGTAGAAGATGGTCATGTTCTGGCCCTGGAATGCATTGCCTTGGTTCTCCACGATGGCGTAGTCCTCGAGAGGCAGGGCAACCCCAAAGCGCTGGTGGCACCGGGCTGTGGGCATGTTCCACACCACCACAAACGGCTCGTGCTGGAGAAGGGGGCCGGCGGATGCACTCTCCCAACTGCGCCCTCTCAAGGGCAGGATGGCTCCGAGGCAGAACAGGACCCAGGGCCAGACAGTTAGGCCCAGAGTCATGGTGGATGTTCTGCAACTATGTCCGGTCCAGACCCCCTCCTGCTTCCTTCCTGAATGAACACCCTACAAGGAGAGAGCAAATCAGAGGCGGGGTGAGACCAGGGAGCCATGCCTGATCTAACACTAAGGGGAACAGCTTGTCCACGGCTTCCTCTCTCAGCCCCACATCCTCTCCCTTGAGCTCCAGCCATGGCAATGGGAGCAACCAACACAACCTGTGCCCCAGGACAGACTGTGGCAGGTCACCCTGGAATCCTGGGGAAAGGCCCCAGCCCATATCACCCACGTCAGGCTAAGGAGGACCTGATGCCAGCTGAGAACTGGTCTTTTCTTGCTACATCCTGAGATTGCCCAAGGTCGGCTTGTGGTTGAGCCCATTGGGGCACCAAAGGGCTACTGGAGAGGATAGCTGTGCAAATTATGCCCCAGGATTGAGAAGCATAAAACCCCATGGCTTAGTTTGCTCTGGGTCCCTCCTCGTCCTTTGTTTTCCCTTCCAAATTACAGGTGTAATGGGTGTTGAAACCTATAGGTGGTGTTTCTCTGATTGCATTAGTGCATCCCAGCCAGCTCTCAGCCTGGGCTTTGTCTGCCCCCATGATGTTGTCTCCACTGTTTCCTGCCCCTTGGACTGGACCTCACCTCTGACCCGGCCTTCCCAACAGATCACACTTGGACCAGGGACTCGCTCTCCACAGGGAAAGAGCCAGAACTCCCAGTGTTGACACCAGCAACCAGCATCACCCCCAGATTGGTGCCCCGGGAAAGGAGCCCCTGCTTGGCCCGTCTGGGTGCAGCTCCCAGGCTGGGATGCTTGAGAGGATCTAAGGCTCCTAATTCCCAATGGAAGCTGGGAACCTTTGTGGATCTGGGCCTTAGGTTCTTTGGGGCAGGGAGTGTCTCTTATTATGCATGACGGGCAGAGCTGTCCCTAGGGTACGGTGAATCGGGGTGACCGCTCCGGACCCTGTGCTTTGGGGGCCCCACGGGCTGACACAATTGGCCAGCATGGCTGGTCCCGGAAGTGATGGGTCAGTCCCGGAAGTGACAAATTCATCACTTCCGCCCCGGGCCCCGCAACCCCTAGGGACAGCCCTGATGACGGGGTCCTGATCTTGGAAAACCTCCTACAATGAAACAGCCACATTCTCGTCTCCCGCCGTCGCTCTGATCTGCGGTCAGGGCCTCAATAGCACGTGGCTAAGGGCAACACTAGGTTCTCTCTGCTGGTGCCCCTCCACACCAGGGTACACAGATGGTCCTGAGTGGGCACCAAGAAGCTCAGGCTGGGGGAACCACCTAGGGGGAGATTTGCAGGCAGGGGTGCAAGTAGGGCAGTACCCTCCAGTACGCAGTATCAGCAAGAGATTTTTAGTGGGTACGGGGTATCAGAAAGACTTGGGGCTAGCTCCCCACCCCGGAGGGCGGGGTGGGGCTGCGCTCTGCTCCTTAAAGGAGCAGAACGGGGCTAGGGAGAACATTCATTCTTTAAATGGCTTTAATAGCACAATACATATGCTAACAAATGTAAACAAAGGCTTTGTTTAAGTTTTTTAGCATATATATTGTGCTGTTACATTGGTCAGGGGTCCTTAGGGGGGATGGGGGGGGGGATGGACAGAAGGTGTTTAAACAGTGTTTTTGATTCTGTTTCTCCCCATTGGTCTGAATTATCCATGACATTCATACTGCATCACATCAAGTCCAAATCATTAGAGGAATGCCTCTGCTTGCACCAACCAGAGGATGTTTGGATTCTGATGTCAACCCAGTTCTGCAGCCTTATGGGAATCAGGTATTGTCCCCAGTGTACACAGAATTCTTCTTTGCAGCCAAACTAGTCTAACATGCATTTTGTTAACTGGAACTGGAGCAGCAAAACAAAGAAAACAAATGCCTCATTTTCCAGCTTTGTAGGTGAGAGAACTATAAGTGAAGATTATAATGCCGGACACTGATGGCCATAAACCAGCTGCCTCAGGAATCTGCCAAGAACTTTGCTGAAAATATGTTCCTCATCTTAGCAACGGAACTACAACTTATCAGACATCTGCCCACCTTTATTCGAATGAAGCTCCTTCTGATCTGACAGCTCAGGCATTGTCAGTTTCATCCAGAACAATTTACAAACTTGGAACCTAATCCTGTAAACTCTTAATCATTTGATCAGTCCCATTGAAGACAATGGGACTATTTGCATGACTATGGACCACTTTTGTGGACTAGTAAGAGTTTCAGAAGTCTGTTCCTATAAAAACAACGAGGAGTCCTTGTGGCACCTTAGAGACTAACGAATTTATTGTGGGTTATAGCCCACGAAAGCTTATGCCCAAATAAATCTGTTAGTCTCTAAGGTGCCACAAGAACTCCTTGTTGTTTTACTGATACAGACTAACATGGCTACCACTCTGAAACCTGTTCCTATAAAGGAAGTTGAATGCCCCATTGAAATGCAATGTTTGGGAACAATACCATAAAGCAGTTAAGGATACAGTTCTACTTAAAATTTATCTTTTAATAAGTCAGACCTATGCTGAAATGGCTCCTCACCAAACTCCCATATTCCATATAAACAGACTGAATACTATATATGTGGGGGGAAAGTGAGTAGTTAAGCATGTTGATGTTTGTATATACAAAGGGGGGTGTCAGAGGGGACAGGGAGAGCGTGGGGTCCCCGGGCTGGGGGCAGGCCAGGGAGGAGTCACATGGAGGGTCACGTGGGGAGGTCACGTACCCCCCCCCCCTGTGTCCCTCCCATGAGTGCTGTACCGGGAAGAAATGATTTCTACTTGCACCACTGTTTCCAGGGGGGCAGTTAGGCACCACTGGGAGTTGGGCGCATAATGCTCAGGCTGCCTGTAAGCCGCAGCACCAGCGGGGAGCATAAAATATCACGTTCCCGCTCATGCACAAGCCATGCCACTGCCCCCCTCCCCACTGGGCTCAGATGCACCCTCCCTGCGGTCACTCCAATGGCCAGCGAGGCGAATGCAAGGTGGGGGAAGGGGTCCAGAACAGTTCTGACTCTCCCCACTTAACATCTGATCCAACCGTTGGACCAGGCCCGGCTGCATGCGGCCAGGGCAGCCAATGCCAGCTCGCCACTCCCCAGCTGCGACAGAGATATCTTCGGAGAGAGAAGATTAGGAACCAGATCGGTCTCGGGTGCCGCGTGACAGCCCAGAGCCACGCTCTAATCCCCCCAGAATGCACTGCCTGGGCTCTCACTGCCTCCTAGCACCCCGGAGACAGGCTCTAATCCCCCCCCAATCTGCTGCTCAGAGCTCAGTTACAACTGACCTTGTTGCTTGAATGTCATCTACCTTTTCCCCCATCTATTTTCACAGCCCTGGTAATTCTAGGTCTGTGTTTTCCCAGCACAAACATTCCAACACTTATCTATACACTGCACTCGCACCAGCAGCCCAGCCCTCCTGGGAGACCCTGCAATAACAAACCCAAGTGCAACACTCAGCACTTGCAAGCAACCCTACGATAACAAACCTGTGTGTGTATAGCCCAGCACTTCCAAGCAACCCTACAATAACAAACTCACGTGCAACATCCAGCCCTTGAGAAACTCTATAACACCCTAGTGTGTGAATTCCAGTGCTAACAAATGACCCTGCAATAGCAAACCAATGTGTGCAGCCCCTGTCCCCCCAACAACCCTACAGTACCAGCGTGCATGTAACTAGCTCCGCTTGAGCCCTTAGCGGGGTTTGATCGATGGCACTAGAAGCACAAGCACTATTTGAGCTAAAGAAATACCTCTTAGCAGGCAGCTGTAGTAGACTTTTAGCCTCTTACATGAACCCGCCACTAGAGGGAGACAGAGACACACTCTCCCCAGTGTGGGTTACATGTGCTCTTGAGCAACTCTGCAATGACCAGTCCCTGAATATAAAGCGCATCATCAGAAGCAAGCTCCCCACAGAGCAGGACACTCCACCTCACACCTGCCAGAACAACAGATGCAAAACCTGCAGCCATATCTCCACTGCTACAATGATCAACACCCCCCTCCCCCAGCACACTTTTCAAGATCCACAGGTCCTACACATGCCAATCACAACATGTGCTGTACCCCATCCAGTGACTAAATGCCCCAATAGCAACTATGTTGGTGAAACTAGGCAATCCCCATGCTCTGGAATGAACCCTCACAGGAAAATGATAAAAAGACAAAAGCACCCTATCACCCATGGCCGAACACATCTCACAAGGCGATCACTCTTTGTCCTTTGACCATTCAGTCCTCAGCCCCAAAGGAAACCTGCACAACACTTACAAGAGATGAGCCTGGGAGCTTAAATTCATAACTTTGCTAGACACTGAAAATCCCAGACGGAACAGAGACAGACAATAGATTTATGGCTTATCACAACAATCTATAACCCACTAACAACCCCTCTCAGCTCCTTTCCTCCTCTAACTGCAAGGGTGTTAATGGGCCACCCCACCTTGACTGGTCCCTTGAAACATGTGTTAAATACTTATGCTAAACAATTGTTCAAATCTGGGATTTAATTGTGGCACTTTGAGGAAGAGCTCTGTATAGCTCCAAAGTTTCTCTCTTTCACCAACAGAAGTTGGGCCAATAAAAAATATTACCTCACCCGCCTCTAATATCTCCTGTCTAATGTCTCTCTAATATCCCCTAGAGTCAGAGAGCACATGGGCATGTGATGGGGAGGGGACATTTTTGCTAAGGAAGCTTCCGAAAGGAGCTCAGCAACATTTTTAGATGGGGGGATAGAACGGGTGCATGACAGCTTCAGCAGGGATGCTGTGCTAGCCGAAACATTGTCAGGTCAGTACAACTGGCCCCACGGAGCTCACAGTGTGCAGTGTTCCAGGGATGCACAGACAGCTGTTCCGTACTCGGAGCTCCTCAGGGGGCTGGGGTATTGACAGGCCAGCATTCAGGGTGGCTGACGTCCCACCTGGACTCATTCTCATTTCCCCCACCCCAGCTGAGGGTCCTTTCCCAGCAAGCTCCACAGCAAATGAAGATCCCGGCAGCAGGGAGTACGGTGTGAATGATCACATGACTAACAATGACTACATAGAACCAGCTGATGGCTCTTGAGGGTGATGGGGTAGGGCGGGATGCAGCAGATTGATCTCAGCCACTCTCTTCCCCAGTTCTCCCGGTGTTGTCACTGGGGTTCAGAAGAGCTACAGCCACGACAAACCCCATTGCCACCTTGCATGTCAACCGTGCTTCCCCACTAGAGCTGCTCCCCTCCCAGGTGCAGGGGGACAAGTGTGCAGGAGGCTCCTGGGGGTTTCCCTCATCACACATGGGTCTCTGCAGAGAGTGCTGCCTCCTACAAAGGAGCCTTGATCCTGGTGACTCCAATCTACTGGACAGGAGTGGATCCAGTGGGCCCACAACAGAGGTAGGGGTTACCACCCCAGAAGTGGCTGCATTTCACCAGTGGGGGAAGTGACTCCTGTATAGTAACCATAGGCCAAGGAGGCCAGGTTTGATTTTTCTTGAGAAAAAATAGGAGTGGTTCCGATGCTGGTTCCATTTTATCCAAAGCCCCGATCTCCAGATAACAGCCAGCGTGGGCCCATCTCCCTTGTGAATACTTAGAGCCACATTCTACTTTCAGATCCATACAGCGCATCTCCACTTACAAGAACCCAGTTAAACTCATAAGAACGGCTATAGTGGGTCAGACCAATGGTCCATCTAGCCCAGTATCCTGTCTTTGGCAGTGTCCATGCCAGGTGCTTCAGAGGGAACAAACAGAACAGGGCAATTAACAAGTGAGCCATCCACTGTCGTCCAATCTCAGTATCTGCGGGTTTAGAGACAGCTGGAACATGGCATTGTGTCCCTGGCCATCTCAGTTAACAGCCACTTATGGACCTTGCCTCCATGAACAGATCTAATTCTTTTCTGTGTATAGAGCAGGGGTTGGCAACCTTTGGGAAGTGGTGTGCCAAGTCTTCATTAATTTAAGGTTTTGTGTGCCAGTAAAAGGTTCCGCGTGCCAGCCTGGCAGCACGAGCAGCAGACGGAACCTCAGACCGGCAGCGGGCTGAGCCGCTCAGCCCGCTGCCGGTCTGGGGTTCCGTCTGCCGGCTCCTGCCAGCCAGGGTCCCAGCCTCTGGTCCCGCTCAGCCCACTGCCGGCCCAGGTTCCGTCCATCCAGGCTGACAGCGGGCTGAGCGGGGCTGCCAGCCAGGACCCCGGCTGGCAAGGGGCTGGCGGCCGGGACCCCAGACTCGCAGCGGGCTGAGCGGCTCATCCCGCTGCCGGTCTGGGGTTCCATCCACTGGCCCCTGCCAGCCAGGGTCCCAGCCGCCGGCCCCGCTCAGCTCGCTGCCGGCCCAGGTTCCGTCCATCCAGGCCGGCAGCAGGCTGAGTGGGCCTGGCAGCTGGGACCCTGGCTGGCAAGGGGCCGGCAGCCGGGACCCCAGACTGGCAGCAGGCTAAGCAGCTCATCCCACTGCTGGTCTGGGGTTCCGTAATCCAGGCCGGCAGAGGGCTGAACGGGGCCGGCGATCGGGACCCCAGCTGGCAGCAGCATGCCACTAAAAATCAGCCCGCGTGCCGCAGGTTGCCGACCCCTGGTATAGAGCAATCCCTCACTAAGCCCACCCCCCTACACACACACAAAACCAGCTGCTTCTCCCCACCTCTCAGCACAGTTAAGAGCAGACAGAGCTGTGGCAAGAATTCACATTACCAAGACTTCCCTCTAGTTACGAAACAAGTTGCCAAATGGTAACACAAAGCAGCCTTGTGGGTCAGAACCCACCACGATTGCCCCAACAGACAGATCAAAGGCCTTTTGAAGAGGCACTCGCCTGGTTTGCTGGAAGTTGCATTTATTCCCTTCCTTGCAAGATACGCTTTTGCAATGGGGTTTCCCAGCCATTAGCCTGGGGAAATTCACATCTTAGTGGAGCCTGCTATGAGTCAATTGTCCCATTGTGCTATCTAGCACATGCCCAGTACAGGATCGTTTGCAATTAACCCCTAGAACAACTGACCAAGGGTCCTGGGCCTTCTCCATCACAAACAATTCTTAAATCCAGATTGGTTCTAGGAATTATCATGGGGCAGTTCTCTGGCCTGTGTCATGCAGGAGGTCAGCAGATGATCACAAGGGACCACCCTGGCCTTGAAATCCATAAGTCACATCACACAGTTTGCGTGACATAGGGGAGTTGGCGAATGGGTCTGGAACTAACCCTTACTGCTCTCCCACCTGTATATATAGGACTTTAGCTCCACCCCTAATTCAATTAACCTGGTCCCTGGGAGGGCCTTATTTTAAAATGACCCATTCTCCAGTTTGGGTTCCCCCCTCCAAAGAGAGAGAGTCAGACTAGAAGCTGGCAACCAAAGAGACGAGGGAAGAAGTGACAGAAGAGCGATGGGTCAGAGGACGCCCCCTCCAGCCAGCCTGTCCTCTCTTGAACAAGAAGGGTGGCACCTCCTTGATGCCAGCTGGGATGCCCTTCTGACACTCACCCACCATCCCTCTACATAGAGTGCCCCAAGAACTTCTTCCGGTCCGTCCGGTGCCTAGTTATAAATGCCTCCCAAAGGATCTATTTGCAGCAAGACAGTGGCCACCGCTGTCTTCTCCCCGTGTACCTCACACATTGCAGATATTCTTGTCTGTCCTGTATGGGCGCCTGCATGTGACTGTTGCCCTGGGGGTCTGGCTGTGAGACTGATGGCCTGGCAGTGTGCCAGGCCCTCCCTGTGTCTCAGCTGGAATGTGCCTGTTATTAGCTGCAGTAGCTCAGGGTGATGGTTGATCCCAGCCCGGGGAGCAGGTTGTGGGGGGCCCTGGGAGAGAGGCACCTTCCCCTCTGCGCTTGCCATAAACTCCTGCAGTGTAGCCTAGTGGGTCGAACACTGAAGTGGGTTCTATTCCTAGCTTGGCCGGCTGGGTGACCTTGGGCAAGTCATTGTGCTATCTGTGCCTCAGTTTCCCCATCTGTGAAAGGGGGCTAATGATCCTGACCTCCTCTGTAAAGCACTTTGGGCTAGATTCACAATAGGACTTTAGACACAACTGCTACTTTAGACACCTGAATCAGGGATTCACAAAACCACTGCCCCTACCCCCAATCTCTGTAGGTGCCCAAACTTTTTCGGCACCTAAAACTTTCAGGGTAAAAGTTCCCTGGGCACATCTGTTTCTGCCTCTGAGCATGCACACTGCAGCCCCACACATCCGGGCACCTACACCCCAAAGAGCGATCCATAAACCACAGGTCTCGCAGGCGGTGAGATCAGCGCCCTGCTGCTTAGCCAGCCATGCCAGTCTCCTGCCCTCGCTGAATCCTTGCCTGCTGGAACTGGGCACGTGACCAGCCAGGCTTGGCACAGGTGTAACCCACCAGAGCTTCGTCATCAATGCACAAGGACCAGCCCCACGCAGATTTGTTAGCAGGGCTCTTAGCTGATCGGCCTTGGACACACAAGGAGCAGGCCTGGGGAGTCCCTTTGCTACCATGCTTTCAGCTCCAAGCCCCATGTCCCATATCTGGGCCTCAAAGGCCTTCCCCTCTGGCAATGGGAATAGAGTAGGAGGCCACTTGCTGATTTCCCCACCCCGGCAGCTTGGGGGGCCCCCCATCATAAGGCCGGCCCTGCTGCTGCTAGAGATTTCTCCAGCTGCTTCCCCAATGATCCAAGGAGGCAGCTCTCGTGAGTATCTCTACATCATAGATTTGCAGAGTCTCTCTGTAGAAATCCCCTTCTGGCTGGACCAGGAGAGATACAGGCTCTCTGATTTACCCAGGTGAACATGGCAGATGGCCCAAAAGGGAATGCCTGGGATTTGGACTCCCACCCCACCACCCACGGGAGTTTGTGGTAGCCCAATCAAAACTAAAACAACCAAGCAGTGGGTAAGGTGGAGGGGGAGAGTTCTCCCCACCCCCAACTTTTAATCAGCATCTCATTGGCACACTGTGCGGGAGTCAAATGTCCTTCTTCATCCAGAAGATGGGGAGCCCTCTGAGGTCACGGTACGGTGTCTCCAGGAGGGTGTGACCATAGGGATCCTTCCCTGGTGGACTGTAGGCGATGGGGCCAGGAGAACCTGGTTGCCCTGGCAGAGGGAGGAGGCGTGGTGGAGGACCAGGGGGAGGGGGCAGAAAGTGTGCAGAGCTTACATGGGCAGCTGGTGCAGGTAAACGGGGTGGTGGAGGCAGCCCAGCAGCAGCAGTCCTGGAATGGAAAGGGGAAGCATGGGGTGGTGAAGGTGGCAAGGGGAGTGGAGGGGGAATGGCAGATTGTGAGGAGTTTAAAGAGCGGGTCGGTGGAGACAGAGATGGTGGCAATGGTGGCGGAGGTGGTGGTGGGCACACAGTGGTGGTGCAGTGGGCAGGGAGCGTGGAGGACGGTAGTGGAGGCAGGTTGGCTCCTGAAGTTCTGCTGTTAAGATGGGAGGTGATGGGGCTGGGCTTTTCCAGTCCCCAAGCAGGTGCTCTAGCATGAGGAGGGGGGCTGGAGAACATTTGCAGGAACTCCATGGGGACCAGGGAGCTCATGAACCCCATGCTCTGCACCGGCTCAGATGCAGTGTAGCCCAGGTGGGCATAGAAGTGCTGCTTGTCATGTGTAGTCAGATGCAGGTGCCTGAAGCCACGGGACTTGGCGTAGCACTCGGTGGCTTCCATCAGCTTCCGGCCATACCCCTGGCCCCGCAGCACCCTGGAAACCACTACCGTTTCCACAAACAAGCTCTGGGGCTGGCTGACTACGCGGGACAACCTGGCGTGCCCAAGGAGCTGGGTCTTCGCCATCTTCCCTTCCTCGGCAGCCTCTGTGGCCCTCTGGGTTTTAATCAGCACCAGGCACAGGGGGAAGTTGTCCGTGGACTTCTGGAGTGAGTACATGCGAGAGGTCTTGCTTTTCTTCCACTCTTCGTTGATGAGCTCGGCGCAGACCTCCACCAGATCCGGCCTCTGGTGAAGGGGAACTGCTGTGAGCAGCTCCGAAACTGAGCCCATTCTTCCCACAGACGGGAGACCAAGCGGGCAAAGCTTTGCAAGTCACAGAGAGCTAGCACCGCTCCCCAAAGCCACGATACACCTGGGCGGGTGCACACAGCCAGACGCAACCTTGCTGCTGGAATTCCAACGATCACTGCAACGGGCCATTCCCACTGGCCTTGGGCAGATTTGCGGCAGGGTAGGGAGACACCAAGCCCCCGGGGGGGGGGAAGAAACTCCCCCAGGCGAATCCAACCAGGCGCACGCCCAGTCTTGCAAGGGTTCAGTAAGTGCTATAGGTCGTCTTGCACCAACAGCTGATGGAAACAAAGCAATAGGCAGAGCTGTCACCATCTCACTCCATCTGGCACCTGGAGAGTTTATTTCTTTTAATTTTTTCCATTTCTGGATGAGCATTTGAAAATCCACCCACAAAACTAGCCCTATAAATACCACATCTATTAGAGGAAGGGATAGTAAATGGGGCAGGAAGGTCCCGGAGGAATACTGGCTGGGTCACAGAGCTGCCAGAGCCGAGCTGGGCTGGTCCCCTTCCCTGCCCCAGCAAAGGGGTATGGGCCAAAGAGTGCTGGGCTCCGACTGGTCACACCTGGCAGATGGCCCCTGGGGGCCAGGGACACAGAGTGTAAATCCGAGCATGCTCTAGCTTACATCCAGGGGTGGGTGACAGCTGGTCCAAGAGTACATGGAGGGCAAAGGTGGCCTAAAGCCATCTCAGGCCAGGCGCCCTGCTCCTGCATAGACAAAGAGGAGTGGGGACTCCGCAGTCTGCACAGTAGATCAGTCTCAGGGGCCGGTCGAGTCCTCACTGCTGAGACCAATGGGGCTGATCAGTGCCAACTGCGATGCCAGGTTCTGTGATCAGGACACCCGTCCGAGAAGGACAAGGCTGAGAACCACCAACTCATTGCACGCATGCCCTTGCTGCCCACTTGAGAGAAGGCCTCGGCTCGACCGTCAGGACAAAGAGGGAGAGGGCTGTGTTAGGCTGGGCTGGGCGAAGTGGGAAGGGGCCATGCCACAATCACAGTCCGTTCCAGATGGGCACCGTCTGTACCAGGCCGAGGAGGTCCCTGCCCCATCTCAGCTTTGGCTTGTGCCGAGCTTTAAACCCAGGAGACACATGCACACGCTGAGGCTTGGTGACTACTTTAATGGAGGCTGCCTGTGCCCCCCACGAGATGGCAGCAAGTCATGGCATACGGGGTACCCCTCCTGTGTGCCAGCTCATCTCAGAGCTGCTGTCGGGCAGCTGGATCAGACCCTCACAAACCACCCGTGCACCCAAGCTAGGGGAGACAGAGCACAGTAAAGGCTGCACCTTGCCAGTGGACAGTTTAGGTAGAGCGTCCCTGCCTCCCAGTCACCCCACCCACTGGCACTGAGCCAGCAGGTCACAGCCCAGCAGATAGGCCTGGGGATGCAGTGAAATCCTCACCCTGCCCCCACTCCCCCGACTTCCGCTCTGGCTGGGTCATGAACCTTGTGAAATTGCAACATGCACAGTCACCACCACGACTTCCTCTGAGCCATCCACTCGCTGGATTTAGAGGCGCCTTGAAAAGACCCCAGCCTCTCCCAGCAGGGGGCGCTGTAGGGATGGGGCAGGAACGCTGGCTGGTGAGGGGGGGTCCTAGCTACTCCAGCCCCAGCCTCTCTCAGCAGGGGGCGCCGTGGGGAGCAGGGCAGGGGGTGCTGGTTGATGACTGGGGATCCCAGCTACTCCAGCCCAGCCTCTCCCATTATCAGAGCACGGGTCTGCAGGTTGCTCAGGCCAGCACCTTTCATCAGCACTAAAGTCACTTAAAAAGACCCTGAGAGACAGAGCAAACACTTGCTGTCCTCTGTCCAGGGCTTACAGGGACCAGCCCACCCCTGGCACTGCGCCCTGGCACCACTCTGGAGACGCTGACCTCACGCCCATCAACGGGGCCTGAATTTCCTGGCACTGGCGGGTGCCTTTCCCCGAGGCTAGTTCCCCTTGCTAGGAGCCGGCAGGCTCTGGGAAGCCACAGGCAGTTTGCAAGAGGAACCACCAGCTAAGCAGTTTTCTCAATACAGTCCGATAGCAACGACTGTGCTTCCCCGCCAGGGTCTGGAGACAGAGAAGGGTCTGGCCTCGGCAGGCGGACGGGCTCCCAGCCCTGCTGCAGCTCGACACTGAGACAGGCTAACATCTCCTGACCTGGGACAGCCCAGATCCGACTGTCGTGTACCCCATAGTACCTGCACAATCCACCCTGGTGCAGCCAACCCCAGCTCAGATCCCCCCACCCTGAGCCACAGCCTCATCTCCGGGGCTTCGTCCAGTCTCATATTAAAAGGCCCAAACGAGGGGGCGCCCTGTTCTGGGGAGGAACAATCACAGCCTCGGACATCTCTGCAAACGGGCCCCATTCTCCAGCCTGCCTTTGCCATTGCTCCATTTCAACCTCGTAGTGAGACTCAAAATACCCATTCAGGCCCAGGGGAATGGCATTAAAGCCAATGGCATCCCCCTTTATGCCAGGACCCCTCTCGGGCCTGCCCGGAGCAAAGCCAGCCTCCCAATCCCCTCTGCAGGCTAGGTATCATCACCCCCACTGGGGAAACTGAGGCATGAGGCATGTCCAGAGCCAGTAGTGGAGTTGGGAAGAGATTCCAGGAATTCCTGGCTCCCAAGCACTATGGAGACTGAGTCAGCTCTGTTAGCCGGGGAGCATGTTTTTGCTGGGTGTCCACTCACCCTGCCCAGCATCAATGCCCGTTGAGCTCCTGTGCTCTGCGTCTCCTCCCTGCCTGGGGATCGGCTCAGAGCCTCTGCTCTGACTGAGGCCCCAGAGACGCTGTCCAGCCTCTTTCACAAGCACCTCACAGGAAGCTGCACGTTCCCCAGCCAACCACAGACACTGACACCCAGTTCTGCTTCCCAGCCATGAATGACGTGTCTGTTTAAACACAGGATGAGCCCTTAACCCACGGACCTGAAATGGAAATTGGTGTGGGGCAGCCCCTCCCCAGCGCTGGCACGCAGCCCCGAAAAGCTCTGCTCGCTGGGGGCTCCTAAAAACCAGGTAGGGCATGGCAGGATTTCAGTTCAAAGGTGGCCGAGTTGGTGGGTTCTCAGCCTGATCTCCCCATGGAGCCATCGTGTGGGCACAAACCAGCCCCTTACGGGCAACTTCAGCACAAAGGCCAAGAAGGAGGATGGCGATAGAGACGGAGTTCCCTCCACAGCTGTCAGTGAGGGGAACATCCAGGGGGGCACAGTGAGGAGACAGCTTGCCCTGGCGCTGGCTGAGCTAGACCTGGTCTCTGGGGTTTCAGCCTGGCACCTTCAACCTTCAAATAAAAACAAGACCCCAGCACAAAGGCCCGGGGCATACAAAGGGTTAATCCAGGGAGTATTCACTATGGTACCCGGCGCACTCCCATAACTGCTATGCCGATACACAAGCCCCTGGGGGACCAAGCTTCAGGGCAGAAGAGTAGGGAGGAAGGAGGACCAATCTCCAGATAGGCCTGCCTGTCTAGTGAACCTACCCAGCCAGGGTCCTAGCAGGCACCCACAGGGCACTGCCAGGGAACGCTCACCCTGCCAGGGTCCCAGCGGGCACCCACAGGGCACAGTCAGGGGGAAGCTCACCCTGCCAGGGTCCCAGCGGGCACCCACAGGGGGTGTGTTTACATGGCTCAGAGCACAGAAGTGGGCTGCATCTGTGCAGCCTGGGGAAGTGTGGACATATGCCTGGGCAAACGGATAAACCCCTGCAGTGTACCTGGTGAGAAGGGGGCCCAGCTGCACCCTGCAAACATTCCCTGGCACTGGAACAGAAATTAGAGGCAGACGAGGGGGTTGCCCCCAGGGTCAGACAGAGCCGTGGGGCTCCCACCCACATTCCTGGGGGGGAGTGGGTCAGCCACCAGGGCTCCACCTTGCTCCCCTAGGGGTGGGGAGACCCCTCCGCAGCAAGTACAGCTCCACTTCCAGGGCATCGTACCTGCCATTCAGCTCTCCTGCTCCGGAGGTTCGTCCTAATTCTCCCTCTTGGGACCAGATCCCTCCCTGCACCTGGCCCAAGAGGCGGCAGCCTCCCCTACTCAGGGTAAGAGGGGGGTAGGGGGACCCCAGAGCAGCCCCAAGAGTGCCCCAACATTGTGCCTCTACCTCAATGAGCCCTATGGGGTTTGCAGGGGTGCAGAATCACCGGGGTGCAGATCCGGCCCCACCTCCTCCCATCCCCATCTGCTCCCTTTCTCTACCCCTTCCCCCCAGGATGGCCCCTGGGCCCAGAGCTGCTGCAGAGGTGGTGTAAAGGCCAGGGCTATTACCCAGGGGCTGACACCTGCCTGGCACAGCCCCTTGGCATCAGCCTTGCTGGCACAAAGGGCACCTGATTCCCCATTGCTCTGTGCAGCCATTTAAGCCAGGGCAAAGTGTGGGTGAAACTCCCTCATGGTGACTGAGTGGCACTCAGCACCCTCTGTGCACTGGCATAAATAACTACCCGGGGCATAACGGAGAACCAGGCCCCAGAGCACGACTGGCACAGCCCAAGGTGTTCACACCCTTCGGGTGCTCCCACCACTGTGTCCCTCTTGTGGCTTCCACAGACATGGGCTGGCCAAGCTTCCTGCCTTTACCACCAGGGACGGCTCAGGTGCAGGGCAGGGCCCTACCCACTGGCGCTGTTGGCAAAGCACTAGCAAGAGCTGTGGGTAAATATGGGGTTTCCCTCCCCAGTGCGGACAGAGGTTCTTTTGTCTGAGATCCAATGTGTCACTAGACCCACCGTCTAGACAGTGCAGGGACAGAGAAACGCCCCTGATCACGCCTGTGGGTTTAGTCCCCAGCTGCCAGGCCGGGTCACAGCCCGAGAGGGACGCTGTGGGGCAGGGCCAAGGGGACCCCCAAATTGCCAGGCCGGGTCACAGCCCAAGTAGGACGCTATGGGGCAAGGGTTCCTCCCCCGCTGCCAGGCAGGGTAAAACCCCGAGCGGGATGCTATGGGGCAGGAGCTCCCTCCCGCTCAGAGCCCGAGCGGGGCTCCCCCCCCCCCGCAGCCAGGTCGGGTCACAGCCCGAGCAGGGCGCTATGGGGCAGGGCCCCGTTTCCCCGCCGTTCCACCCCCTCGCAGGGCCCCGGTACTGACATGGCGGCACCGTGAGCTGTGGCTCGCGCGTCCCGTCCCGTCCTGTCCCGCTGCTCTCCCCCGGCGGCAGACACAGCGCCGCCTGCTGGCCGGAGGCTGCCGATCGCTGAACCCGCTCCTCGGCCGTGTGAACGGGGCAGTTCCCCGCGTTCGGTCAGGCCCGGCCCATGGACACCCGGCCTGGCCCAGCCCCGCTCATAGACACCCAGCACGGCCCACTGACACCCGGCCTGGCCAGGCCCATTGACACCCAACCTGCCCCATTGACACCCGGCAGGGCCCCGCTCATAGACACCCGGCCCGGCCCATTGACATCTGGCACATTGACACCCAGCCCATTGACACCGGGCCCAGCCCATTGATACCCGGCAGGGTGGATAAAAATCAATGATTTTTTTTTAATCAAAAACATCGGATTTTTTTTACCTAAATGGGGTTTTTTTTTATAAAACGCCTTTTAAGGAAAAAACCTATCTAAAAATAGTTCTAATTAAGATACATTATAGCTCAAAAATATCTCATCATGGAATAGGGATTATAAATTCTAATTCTATAGTATGAGACAATATATTCATGTAATGTTTAAGACAAGTTTTGTAAATGAGTTCCAATAGTTATGGATTAGGGACCCGATTTTATGGGATTCCAGGGGCTTCTGTATAGATTATTTAGGTTAATCTTTCTATCTACCAAATGGGACTCAGTGCTCAGTCTAGAACAGAGGTGGGCAAACTACGGCCTGCGGGACCCTCCTGCCCGGCCCCTGAGCTCCTGGCCCGGGAGGCTAGCCCCCGGCCCCTCCCCCACTATTCCCCCTCCCCCGCAGCCTCAGCTCACTGCGCTGCTGGCGCAATGCTCTGGGCGGCGGGGCAGTGAGCTCCGGGGGCAGCGCAGCTGCAGAGCCCGGACTGACCCGGTGCTCTGTGCTGCGCAGTGCGTGGCTGGCTCCAGCTGGGCGGCGCGGCTGCAGCGCCACCAGCCACCGGTGCTCCAAGCAGCGCGGTAGGGGGACAGGGAGTGGGTTGGATAGAGGGCAGGGGAGTTCGGGGTGGTGGTCAGGGGGCGGGGGTGTGGATGGGGGCGGAGCGGTCAGAGGGCGGGGAACGGGTTGAATGGGGGCAGGGGTCCGGGGGGGGGCAGTCAGGAAGGAGGAGGGGTTGGATGGGGCGGCGGGGGGCAGTCAGGGGCAGGGGTTCCAGGGGCGGTCAGGGAGCAGGGGTGGTTGGATGGGGCAGGGGTTCCAGGGGGGCAGTCAGGAATGAGAGGAGGTGTTGGATGGAGTGGCGGGGGGCAGTCAGGGGTGGGGGTTCCGGGGGGGTCAGGGGACAGGGAGCAGGGGAGGTGGATGGGGTAGGGATCTCAGGGGGGCAGTCAGGAATGAGAGGAGGGGTAGGATTGAGTGCCGGGGGGCAGTCAGGGGCGGGGGTTCCTGGGGCAGTCAGGGAACAGGGAGAAGGGGTGGTTGGATGGGGGCAGGGGTCCCAGCGGGGCAGTCAGGAAGGAGAGAAGGGGTTGGATGGGGCGGCACAGGGCAGTCAGGGGTGGGGGTTCTGGGGGGGGTCAGGGGACAGGGAGCAGGGGGGGTGGATGGGGCAGGGGTCCCAGGGGCGCCGTCAGGGAACAGGGTGGTTTGGATGGGCCAGGAGACTGGGGGGGGCCGTCAGGGGGCCAGAAGCGGGGGGGGGTGGATAGGGGGTGGGGGCTGGCCCACGCCCCCCTCCCCTAACTGGCCCGCCATACAATTTCCAAAACCCGATGCGGCCCTCAGGCCAAAAAGTTTGCCTGCCCCGATCTAGAAGATACCATCAGAGATGCTTAGTTTTGCAGTTCTCAAACTGTGGATTTGTGTCTCCAGAGATAACATGCTTGTTAATAGCAAAAATGTTTTAAAATAAGTAAATAAATAATATTTAGAGGTGAGAAATAACAGACCTCAACCCTATTGTCCCTCTGCAAATTTGTGTACACAGAGTCAATCCCTTACCTCTCTCTAAAAGTGCAAAGTTTCAAAAAGTTCAATGAATAGAAGATTGTTGGGGTCAGAATAGAGCTTGACAGGGAGAAGAAGTCTGGAGATAAATGTGAGAAGGGAGGGACAGGCAGTAGAAACTAAAGTGAAACTGAGCAGCATATTCCAGAAGTCTTGAGGTCTTTCTGAGTGTAGCTTTCATTGATTTATAGACTCATAGACTTTAAGGTCAGAAGGGACCATTATGGTCATCTAGTCTGACCTCCCGCATGATGCAGGCCACAAAAGCTGACCCACCCACTTTCCCTTAACTCAGCTGTTGAAGTCTCCAGATCGTGATTTAAAGACTTCAAGTCGCAGAGAATCTTCCAGCTTGCGACCCCTGCCCCATGCTGCGGAGGAAGGCGAAAAACCTCCAGGGCCTCTGCCAATCTACCCTGGAGGAAAATTCCTTCCCGACACCAAATATGGCGATCAGTAGAACCCCGAGCATACAGGCAAGATTCTCCAGCCGGACCTTCATTTTACCAGCGATGGCATGTTATTGCCTAATTGACTAAAATCATGTTATCCCATCAAACCATTCCCTCCATAAACTTATCTAGCCTAATCTTGAAGCCAGAGAGGTCTTTCGCTCCCACTGTTTCCCTCGGAAGGCTGTTCCAAAATTTCACCCCTCTGATGGTTAGAAACCTTCGTCTAATTTGAGATCTACCATATCATTCTCTCACTATGTAAGGGGGACTGTTGTCCCCTTACTAACATTCAGTGGGGGTGTTTTGGTTGCTAACTCCCAGTGCTAAAAGAAAGGGGAAGGGTCGCTGGGAAATCAGGGCCCTGAGACTGACAGTCTCCAGGGGCAATGGAGAGAGGCCAATGCTCCAGGTCAGCCTGATTGACAGGGCAGGCAGGCTAATCAGGGAGTCAGGACGCCAGGGTGGGGTCCGGTCCTCCATGTGAGCTGGAATTGCCTGGGTCAGACCGAGTGGGGCTGAGCTAAGGAGAAAGCAGAGGCCCAAGCTGAGCTGGGGAGCAGAGCCGCACCAGCCAGAGGGGCCAGAAAAGCAGCCCAGGAAGCAGGTCAGAGCTGGGAGCAGAGTCACAGAAGCAGCCCACAGAGCAGACCTCCTCGGGGGAAGAGCTGCAGCCACAGAACCAGAGACACAGCCCAGAGAGAGCAGCTCCTGAGCTTTGAGCAGAGCTGCAGCCACAGAGCCAGGTGCAGTGAGCAACTGGGGCCAGCCAAGGGGGGATTCTGGGCAAAGGGCGCAGCGCAGAAAGACACCCCCAGCCTTGTAGGCCAGACTGGGAGGGGGATCTTAACCCGATGGGGGGCTGATGCTGGGAAGAAGGGTCCCACCACCCAAAGCCCAGAGCTGTGTGGCCACCATCAGAGCAAGTGTCCAACCCGCAGCATTCCTGCAGCACAGCCAGGGCCTGAGAAGAAGGCTGGGACCTACAAGGAACAGACAGTGAACTACCCAGATGTTCCAGAGACACTGTTTGTAATGTTCCCTGCTACAAAGCGGGGTGATGTGTTTTCCTTTAACCTTTCCCATTTTTTTTTAATTAATCGTTGATTAAACAACTTGTATTTGCTTTAAATTGTATGTAATGATCAGTGGGTCAGGGAAGTGCCCAATGCAGAGAGAGTTCCCTGGAGTGGGGACACCCTAGCCCCTGTCCTAGGTGACCACAGCAGGGTTGGGGGTCGAGCCCCCCAGGAATCCTGGGCCCAGCCTTGTTGGGGTTACGAGGACTCTGACAGACAGGAGAGTGGAAGGGGAGTCCTCAAGGGCAGGGAAGCCTCTGGGTAAAGGAAGTGGGAGCGAGGACTCAGATCCTTTCGCTGGCCCACTTCACCGGGGAAGTGCAGAAGCCAGGAAAGTTCCCCACAATAGCGGGACCATTCCCCCGCTTACATAATTAGAAGGGAAAACCTATAATGGCAGCAGATCGTAAAAGAGACCCAGTTTGGGAATATTTTAATGAAGTTCCTCTACCTGTGGGTAAGACAGGCATGCGTACAAAATGCAAACAGTGCAACAAAGAAATGCAAGGCCTGGTTGCCCTCATGAAACAACATCATGAGAAGTGTTCCTTCTCAGAAGGAAGCTGTGTTGAAGATGATGGAACATTTCAGGTTGGTAAACTTTTTTATTTCATACTTCTTTCTTAAGGTCTGCCTGACTTCCTTCTGGACTATTCTTGAATTCTCATGTTTGAGCAAAAAATATAGTTGTTACTCTATGGTACTATCATTTTAGATGCAGTTGTGATGAAAAATAAATAGCTGAAATAGGCAGATCTTCCTCTTACAATTTCACCTTTAAAGTAGTACTGAATGTCAGTGAATGCAATGAGTAATACTAAATGAGCAGTGTGGTAATAATAATTAAATAACTGCATTGACTTATTTTGTTTAGGAGAATCCATCCTCAACATACAGGATTCTGAAGACTATCCACCTTCAAGATCACCATAATTTTCTATAGTTTCAGAGTTATCTGCCAATGATAGTGTTTCAGTCACATCATGTATGTCACATAGTATATCACCTGTAGCAAAAAGGGGAAAAAAATCTCCATCATCCAGAAACAACCATATATAAGTTTGTGATAAGAACCAGCAGATTACAAAAAGAGGTAATTGATGAAAAAATTGCCCGGTTTGTTTATGCAACAAACTCTCCTTTCCGTATGATTGAGAACCCACACTTCATTAACATGGTTCAGTCATTAAGAGCAGGATACAGTCCACCCAACAGAGCAGATGTCACAGGCAAATTGCTGGATAAAGTGTATGAAAGAGAAATTGAGCAGTGTGCAAAAGGTCTAGAGGGTGAAATTATTAACCTGAGTCTTGATGGGTGGAGCAGTGTCCACAATAATCCTGTTATGTGCTTGTGTGACAACAGAAGAAGGGAATGTCTTCCTTACAGAAACAACTGATACAGCTGGAAATGCACTCACAGCAGAATACTTACAGGAAGTAGCAATAAAAGCTATAACAAACTGAAAAAAAATCCAAATGTCTATTATGCAGCTTGGTCACAGACAATGCTGCAAATATATCCAAGATGAGAAGAAATTTAGAAGAGCTTCCCAAGCTAATAACATACGGTTGCAGTGCTTATTTGATGCACTGCCTAGCCAAAGACTTCATTGTTCCAGAAATAAAGGCTAATGTTGTTGAAATTGCAAAATACTTCCGTAACAACCACTTTGCAGCAGCTGCTCTGAAAAAAGTGGGAAAAGCCAAGCTAACTCTCCCACAAGACGTGTGATGGAACTCAGTAGTGGACTGTTTTGAGCACTATATCAAGAACTGGCCTAATCTGATGACAGTTTGTGAACAAAATAGTGAAAAAATAAATGGCACTGTCACAGCCAAAGTTCTCAACATTGGGCTTAAGAGAAGTGTTGAACACATGCTGAGTACCCTGAAGCCTATTTCTGTAGCCTTGAACAAAATGCAGGGAAATAGCTGTTTTATTGCTGATGTTGTTGAAATTTGGAAGGAACTGAGTGAGATCGTAAAAAGAGAAATATGCAATGACAGAGTTAAATTACAAGCATTAAAAAAACGAATGGGACAAGCACTATCTCCAGTTCATTTTTTTTTTTTGAAATATTCTCAATACTCGGTACCAGGGTCAAACCTTAACTGCTGAAGAAGAGGAGTTGGCTATGACATGGACATCCAGCAATCATCCTTCCATAATGCCAACTATAATAAACTTCAGAGCGAAGGGTGAACCATTCAAGAAATATATGTTTGCTGATGATGTTTTAAAGAAAATCACACCAGTGAACTAGTGGAAGTCACTTAAGCTCTTGGATTCAGAGACTGTTGAAGTGATAATCTCACTTTTAACAGCAGTAGCTTCTTCTGCCGGTGTAGAAAGAATATTTTCTTCCTTTGGACTAATTCTTTCCAAATTGAGAAATCGTTTGGGACCTGAAAAAGCAGGAAAGCTTGTTTTTCTTTTCTAGATTATGAATAAACAGGAAAATGAAGGTGAAGACGACTGAGTTAGCTGCAGAAGCCAATATTTTAAGTTTCTCATGTTGACCTGGCTGACACAGTCGATTTAATTTTTATTGTTTTTTTTTAAATATTTCATTTAACTATTTTAGTTAAAAACAATTTTAACAAAAACAAACCTGATTTTAAAAAACTTGAATGTTTAACTAAATTCAAAAATTCATATGCCTGTTTTGTTAAAATATTATGTTTGCTGTTGAAGAAAAAAATCCAGAATACATAATGTTGTTTTAGTTAAATAAAACAATTTAAATGTCTGTCTGGTGATGTTATCCTCCTAATAAAGCATGGCAAGAAAATCCTCCAAATATTAATGATTAACCTGTTGAATTGGAGTTAGTTCACCTCCCACTGACTTCATAAATATCTGCTTCCATTACCTTTGGTAAATTAAATAACAAAACAATCATTTATTTTCTGATATATCTGTAAAAGTAATCTGAAAAGTTTTCAAAATAAATCACTTTAAAAATGTATAGTGTGTACCTACTAAAAATGAAACCTACATCTATCTCTGAGTTGTGAAGAATATGTATTAAGGTTATAACAACCAACAAGAATGCACTTTTATGTAGAAATCCGTGATCAAATTGAGTCTTTCTGACTAGTGATTTAAATCAAATCCACCCTGACACCCAATCCATTGACACCCGGCCCGGCCCAGCCCATTGTCACCTGGCCCAGCCCATTGATACCCAGCCCATTGCTATCCGGCCCATTGACACGCCCAGTCCTTTTACATCCAGCACATTTTCACCTGGCCCAGCCCCATCCATTGACACCCGGCCCAGCTCAGTCCTTTGACATCCGGCCCATTGACACCCAACCCATTGACACCAGGCCCAGCCCATAGACGCCCGGCCCGGCCCGGCCCGGCCCAGCCCAGCCCATTGACACCTGGCCCATTGACACCCAGCTCATTGACACCCAGCCCAGCCCATTAAAATATGGCCCAGCCCATTGACACATGATGCATTGACACCCGGCCTGGCCCATTGAGACCCGGCCCATACACACATGGCCCGGCCCATTCACACCTGGCCCGGCCCAGTCCTTTGACATTCAGTCCATTGACGCCCGGCCCAGCCCATTGGCACACGTTGCATTGACACCTGGCTCAGCCCAATGACAGCTGGCCTGGCCCATTCACACTGGGCCCGGCCCAGTCCTTTGATATTCAGCCCATTGACACCTGGCCTGGACCATTGACACCCGACACATCCCAGTTCTTTAACATCTGACCCATTGACATTCATAAAAAGAAAGAAATATAGATGAGAGCTAAAATTGGTCAAAGTAATCAATTACATACAGTAATGGCAAAGTTCTTGGTTCAGGCTTGTAGCAGTGATGGAATAAACTGCAGGCTCAAATCAAGTCTCTGAAGTACATCCACAGCTGGGATGGGTCATTGAGTCCCTTCTTCAGAGCTTCAGTTTGTAGCAAAGTTCCTCCAGAGGTAAGAAGCAGGACTGAAGACAAAATGGAGGGGTTTCCAGGGTCTTTTATATCCTCTGCCATGTGGAAGGAAACCCCTTTGTTCTTACTGTGGAAAATCACAGCAGCATGGTGGAGTTTGGAGTCACATGGGCAAGTCATATGTCCATGCATGACTCAGTTTTTTACAGGTAGAGCAGCCATTGCTCACATGTTTCTTGATTGGGCACTTAATCTGAAGAGTCTCTTCACAATAAGCTGGCCAAATGCTTCACTGGTGCTACTTAGAATCAAACACATTGAGATACAAGTACATAGCCAATATTCATAACTTCAAATACAAAAAAGTTACACACATACAGACAACATAATCATAACCAGCAAATTACCACCTTTTCATAGACACCTTGACCTCCTTTGTACAAGATTTGGTGCAACTATAGGACCTTGGTTGCAACAATGATCTGTACGGTCACAGTTCATGTCAGTAACGTCACACCTACCCACAAGCGTATCTACCTCTCCTCCCATCTTAGTGTCCCCACCATGTCCCCTTCCAACACTCTCATGTAGCTCCCTGCCCTCTCCCTGCTACACCTTCAGCTCGGAATTTCCTTCCAAAATCCATTCAGCCAGCCCCCCTCGCCTCGGTCACTCCTAAATACCAGATGGTGCACCATCAACTGAAAAATGCCAGTGTGTTTGTGATCCACCAGTGGGTGGGGATGTTATAGGTCTGATCTACACAGGATGAGAGCCTTGTATAGGCCCTGCTAAGACGCCTTGATTCTTCAGCTCAAGCTTGCAGTCGTCCATGTGGTTAACTCTGGAGGTCTCCTGTTCAGTCCCCGTGGTATCAGCCAAGATGGAGGCCATCACACGCTTACACTTGTGCAAACAAAAAGCCATTTGATTGGGTGGCAGTGCCGGGTGCTCTGCATGTGTGAATCAGCTCTTGAGGTTGGCATGTGAATTCTTTACATGGCTCTAGCTTGTGATTTCTTTTTATTTTGGAATGATCACTTCAGCCAGGTGCTGTGCGTCATTGTGAATTGCACTTTGCTACCCTGCATGGTGCTGTGTATATGTATGGTGTGTTCCAGGGGTGGGGTGTATGGGCCACGTAGGGTGCACGGGCCCATGGGGGGGGGGGGTGTTTAACAGCCCCACACTGAATGGTTCAGTGTAGGAGGCTTACACCGCAGTAGCCCTTGCATGCTGCTAGTTACAGCGCACATTTCGGGCTATGAGATATGAATCTCCCTCTGTTGTGGACATGACAGAGATCTCTATACGTGGTACGCACCTCCCGGTGAGGTGGTTTTAGCATAGGATGGATCTGACACTTACATGTCAGTTTATGATGGGGTTCCGCATATCATGCATGTTTCCTGTTACAAAGTACAGAGTTACACTATGTGAGGGGTACATGACAGAAAGGAATGAACTGCATCCCAGACTGTGTCCATATTGGTGTTCGGGTGTGTTTCAGGGTGAGGGGGCCATGTGGATGCAATGGGGCCACGTGGGGGGGTGTTTCAAGGGTTGGATGTATGGGGCTACATAAGGTGCGTGGGCCCACGTGGGGGTGTATATGTGGGGTGTGGGTGTGTCGGGGTGGGGTGTATGGAGCCATGTGGGATGCATGGGGCCATGTGGGGGATGTATATGTGGGGTGTATGGGGCCATGTAGGGGTGTATATGTGGGCTGTGGGTGTGTCAGGGGTGGGGTATATGGGGGAATGTAGGGTGCATGGGGCCATGTGGGGAGTATATGTGGGGTGTGAGTATGTCAGGGGTGGGGTGTATGGGGCCACGTGGGAGGCATGGGGCCATGTGGGGTGCATATAGGGATGTCACTCTGGGTTGCCCTCACGTTCACACCGGGTCCCTGCCCAGCCAGTGTAGCACTGGCAGCTGAATTCTTCCACCAGCTTGGCTTGCTCCTGCTTTGCCAGTTGTCCCTGCAGGTGGACGCGGGGCCAGCTGCCTTGCCTCCGGACAGTGAAGCTGGAGGGGCTGAGGTGCAGGAACGCGCCGGGGTGCCCGGCCCGCCGCACACAGCGCCCGTGGCTGGAGCACACCGTGCGACTGCACAGTGTGGCACTGCTGGTCACGTTCATGATGTAGTGGCCCAGGCTCCTGTCCACGTACTCCTTCAGTGCCAGGCAGGACTCCTGTAGGGGGGGCACAGTACAGGCCCAGGCAGGGCTCTCTCAGGGGAGAGGAGGGGCCCATTTTCCTGTTGTGCTTCCCTTCCACACAGTCCCCCCAGGACCCACCCTCCCAGCTCCTGAGTGCAGGGGGAGCCAGACCCCAGGGCTCCCACTCTCAGCATCACACACACCTGGGAACTGCCAGTTACACACCACATGAGACCCCCACACACACCTTCCCATCCTCTGAGCGCAGGAGCATCCACACCCCAGCCAGGATTCTATTCCCAACTTGTAAGCGGCCGTAGCCCCCCATGTAACGCACCCGTGAGTGAGTGTAATCCTCGTTGCCCCACAGCACAACCCCCGAGGCACCTTGAGAAGCACTTTCCCCAATGGTGTGGACCAAGTCCTCCTGCAAGAAGCAGAGAATCACCATGAAGATAACAGCTTCGGCTACTAACACCTGGGAGGGGTGGAAGGCTGTTCCGGTAGGATCCTCGCATGCATCTTTCCCGCACAGATTGTCCCCTTCTGGCACAACAGGAGACAACCACCAGCACCTGCTGCCTCAAGCCAGATTGAGGAACCTCTGTGGTTCTGTTCCAGGTGAGAAGGGTGGGTCAAAGACAGTGCCATGGACTCGCTGCCCACATGCAAAGCCATGTTATGCTGACAGGTGTTAATGACTGCCAGCAAGCGGGATCTACAAACAATCACACACCTGGTTAAAGCAACCTTCTTGCAGGCTAAAGGGAAGGAGCAATTAAGCCCCTTTATGTAGTGACAGCTGGAAACAACAGAAGTCACCATCCAATGCAATGGCAAGTCCTGATCAGAAGGTAAGCTGTGCAGGCTGTGGGGTTCCCTAATGGCAAATGCAGGGGCTAGGAGCTGGTTTGGCAAGCTGTGAGGGGGTGCTAGAGCAGGCAGGGAGACATCATGGCCCTGAGAGAGCAGAGGGACAGAGCTCGGTGGGCCCAGCACAGACTGAAGAGGCAGGCCTGGGGATTTCTCAGTAAGGAAACTGCCGGCTGTTTGTTTCTTTCTGTTCAGGGAAGCTGGACTTTGTGCCCATTCTTTGCAAATAAACAATCTGACTCAGAACCAACCCAGCAAGGCCCTAGCTGCTGGCTAACCACTCGGGGCCACTGGGACCACAGCAGTGTAAAACAAAGACAGGTCTCTGCTAAGCTGGGGTGGGAGGGGGGCGGAGAGTTGGCTGAGTTGGGAGTATTTTCTTTCCCGGAGGTACAAGGAAAAGGCAGGGGAATAGCCTGAAACAGGCCAAATGTAGAGAAACCCTCCAGGAGCCCAGACCTTTATCTTGTGTAAAAGCATTGCTCTCTTCTGGACCCATGGCCCAGGATATGGCCCTTGTCCCTCACACGTCTCCCACTGAGATCCCTATGGATCCCCCTTCTGCCCTCCAGGGCTTCTCCACCCCACTGCCCCGAGCTGACTTCATCCTACCAGACTTCCTCCCTCTGCCCCTTCCCCGCCAACGGCTGCTCCTTGGCCCCGGGTGACAATGGTAAGCAATGGCCGAGAGGACCTGGGCTAGAAGATGGGAAACACCCCCGCCCCTAAAGCTGGCCTCTGCCTCATGCTGCCGCTCTATTCGGCCCTGGGGGGGCACGGCAACGCTGGCTGGGGGCATCACCTGCGAGAGGAAGTCCTCCGTGAAGTCGTACTGGATACGGGCGTAAGGTAGGACTGAGAGGCTGCTGGTCCCCGTCTGCCCCTGCACCCGGAACGCCTCGGCCACACGGTGCCGGACGAACTTGCCAACCTGGTCTGTCAGCCAGAGCTCCTTGGGCAGGTAGATGCTGGGGTAGAGTGCCCGGCTTTGGTTCCAGAGCCACCAGAGCTGCTCGTTCCGCCGCTGCTCTATGGCGGGACACTCCCCTGTGTAGTTGGCCGCTTTGAAATCATAGTTATAGCAGCTGGGGAAGCCATAGAAACCCCAGAAGCCCTCAGGCCGCAGGCTCTTGGCAAGCACCAGGGTCTGCTCCATGAAGGCCCGAGCGCTTTGCTCAAATTCCTCCTGAGCTTCCTCGGCCACCCTGTCTGGGGGCCAGTCGGGGTGCCGCTCCTGGACCAGCTCTTGGGACTTCTCCTTATAGAGCTCCATGGCATCCCAGTTCCGAGCCCACACGGGGCGCCAGCTCTCCCAGTCGATCACTGCCAGGCCCCGGAAGCCTGGCTCCAAGATGGTGGCCTGGATGTCATGCCGCACCTTGCCGAGGTGGGCCTGGAGGCTGCCATTCTGGGGGACACCCCCGTGGGCCGCCGTCCCCTCCGGGGTGTAGTGTGGATAGAGGCCCAGTGTGTTGCTGTAGAAGAGGGCGATCTCCTGGCCCAGGAAGGACTCGTTGCGGTTCAGCACCACGTCAAAGACCCCCAAGTCAAGGGGCACATGATATTTCGCGCTGCACTCCTGGCTCGGGGCGTTCCACACTGTGACAAAGGGGCGGTCCCAGAGAACTGGACCCCCATCTGCCGTGCTTCGAGCCACCAGGGCCAGGCTCAGCAAGCATGCCCAGGGCAGTAAGAACACGGTGGCCATGTTAAGCCTGCGTGCCAATGGCTGGCGTCTAGTCCTTGAGGCCTCGGGAGAGCTCCTGGGGGCCCGGCTCCTCAAATCGGGAGAGCAAAATCTCAGTGGACGCTCCGGCTGCCCAGTTTCTCCACTCAGCCCCCCAGGGATGGGGAAGCTGGGAGAGACGGGGGGTGGGGTGGATTCCTGCTGCCCCCCAGGGGAGCCGAGTGCTGTCAACTTTCCAAAGCTAATTCCTACTGGTTTGTCCCAACCTCGTCCCTCCTAATAACTCCCAGACTCTCCCCGCAGAGGAGCGAGGGCTGGGATCAAACCGCTGGCTTTCGCAAGGATTTGCGGTGGGAGGCCTGGCACCTGCTCCAGAGCTTTGCCCTCCCCATGACCTTGGCTGACGTGTCAGTGGGTCCTATTCCCCGCCCCCATTTCTTCCCCTAGGAGATACTGAACCGGACCCGGCATGGCCCCTCCCTCTTTTCCTTGCGCTCCTGTCCTCAGAGGGGGTGGAGTGTGTTTTCCCCATGTGAAGGAACTGCTGGGCCATGATCCAGGGCCGCTGCTCCAAAGGGGAAGCAGTGTTTGCAGATGGGGTGGAAGAGCCCTGGGTTGGCTGCTCTGTGCCCAGGTTAAAGATTTACCTGCGGGGGGAAAGAAGGAGCAGGGAGAACGGGTCAAAGAGATAGCGTGGGGTCAACGGAACATGGGTTAGAGCTGCAGTGCTAAACTGCAAGGCCAGAATCCAAGCCATGGCAACAAAGCCACAGCTCCAAGGAAGCTTTCAGTGCTAGGGATTAGCTGGCATGGGCAGGGCACTGCTCCAAGGAAGTGCACAACACTGGGGATTAGCTGGCATGGGCAGGGCACTGCTCTGAGGAAGCTGGCAGTGCTGGGGGCCAGCTGGCGTGGATAGGGCACTGCTCTGAGGAAGCGCACAGCACTGGGGGCCAGCTGGCATGGGCAGGGCACTGCTCTGTGGAAGCTCATAGCAATGGGAGCCAGCTGGCGTGGGTAGGGTGCTGCTCCGAGGAAGCTTGCAGCGCTGGGGGCTAGCTAGCATGGGCTGGGAAGGCAAATCATATCCTGGGGCTGGATGTGGATCATGCCCATATCCTTGTGGCTGTGCTCAGTAGCAGAAGCAGTGGCCCACGCTGTCTAGCCTTGCCAGGATCCAGTGGAGCCAGCCAAAATTAGCCAGGCTACTTCTCAGGCCACAGAAGTCAGTCCTCCCAGCCCATATGGGGCGGGCCCCTTCCCTTCCTGCCCCGCTAGGAGCTAGGCCTGCAGCATCAGTGGGGAAGCTGAAGAAAGTGGAGACCTGTCTATAAATCTCTGGGCTGGTGTTGGGATGCAAACTGATGTGGGGAAAGGGGGATAAGCAGGGGGCAAGGGCAGAGAGGCTCATGGGAAATGCAGTCCTGGGGTGGTTCAGCTCCATCCCCAAGGAATCCTTGCGTCCCCATGCTCTGCATAGCCACGTGGTGCTGAGACGTCACCTGTACTGCCCCAGCTGGGCCGAGGGTGTCACACCTCGCTACTGCGAAGCCCTCCTGCCGCCCAGGGCTTCTGAAGCAGCAGATTTGGGAAGCCAGAAATATGACCCTGGCATTGGGCCGCACCCAGGAGGGAGAGCATTTTAAAAGGGGGCAGCCAGGGTAAAACACCAGGCCCAGGGCTGGGCCCACTCCCTGAAGGACCTCTGATCACAGCCCTGCTCTGCCTGTGGCAGCATGTCCCTGTGGACCCAACATGACCATGCAGGCCCGAGGGCGGCTTAGGACCCAGATGGAGCCCACTGCCAGACCCTACACCCTGGGATTGGTGGGGCTGGAGAGGAGGGGCTGGAGGAAGCTCAGCTAGAACAATGCCTCCCTCTGAGCCAGGAGCTTAATTTGCTATAAGAAAGTTCCAATCTCCCACCAGCTCTGGAATCCTTCCTCCCAGTTTGCCTCCCTCCCCAGCCAACGTCAGGCTGGGGGAGTGGGATGGAGCAGACCCTTCCAACCAGGGATTAAGGGGATGAGTGAAACTTTCCAGCCTATGAGAGCCTTAAGGGGGTGGCATAATGGGGGAGGGGCTGGTTCCACCCCAGTAACCACAGCCGGTGTCCCGGGGGAATCTCGGCGGCTGGGGTCTACTCCGGAACATTTCCAGGTGGTCCGTCAAACAGGATGGGGGAGGTGCACATGTGCAAGCCAGATGGTCCACATCCCGCACAGCCCTGGCGCTAGCCAACCCCGAAACCAGAGCTCTGATCCAAACCAGGATCCGGATCCAAAGCAGGCCCTGATTTCTATAAAGGGCCAAACCAAAACTCAGAACCGGACCAGCCCCTCAGGCTGCCTCAGTGTTTGTGATGGAGGCAGCGTTGGGGGCTCCAGCCCTGACCTCCAGAGTATCCTCTTGTGGCATGGGGTGGTCCTGCAACATTCATGCCTCAGTTTCCCTCTCTTCAGGGCTCCTCATTAATTTCACAGACTGGTTTGGCTGTTGCAGTGACTTGACCCTCGGCCTAAGTCCCTAACAAAAGGTCCACCCCATCCCGGGTATACGAGGCCAAAACCAAACACAGTTTTCACACTGGGCCTGTCTAAGAGTCTGGTTGGTCTACACTAGCCCAGACATGGCTCTATCTGCCTGCCCTCGGGGCTCAGCTTTTCCCCCTTCCCAGGCTCCTCTCCATCCCTCCCCCCCCCCCACCCCCTTTGTGCTGCCCCCCCCCCCTCCCCCGCCGCCCCCCCCCGGCCTTCCTGCCTGGAGTCCCTGCTCCCCTGGCACATCATGATACCCTGCCAGAGCCTTGCCAAACTCTGCAGCCCTCAGTAGCCTTCTCCAGGCCTCTACCTTCTCTAGCCCAATGGGGTGACATGATTCACCAGTCACATGTCTGTCAGCATTCACCCCACCTAGGGAGGTGAGCTGGCTGGGTCACAAGTCTGCTGAGCCCCATCGCCTCTGAATAGGCCCAGCCAGCCTAGAAGAATGTGCGATAAAGGTGCAGTGCTGTGAGGTGCAGTGCTGCAGGGTACCCTGCAGGGGGCAGTGTGTAATAACAGTGCAGTGTTGCAGGGTGCAGTGCTGCGGGGTGCCCTGAAGGGGGCAGTGTGCGATAATGGTGCAGTGCTGGGGGTGCCCTGCAGGGGGCGGTGTGTGATAACGGTGCAGTGCTGGGAGGTGGGGGAGCTGTAGCCCAGCCCCCTGTTGTGATTAGGGGAGCAGTTCCAGGCATCGATCAGCAGGTGGCAGCACACGCACGCACACATTTCTCAGAAAAGCAGCCGGCCAAGCACTGGGGAGGAGGAGGAGTGGAATGGGGCAGAGCTCAGCCCCCCTCGAGTGCCGAGTCTGGTTCCTATTACACTGCGGTGGGGGGGACCGCCAGGGAGACTGGGAAAGGAAACAATCCAGCCTTCAGCTTCTGGAGACCTGGGGCCTTGACTCGTGCAGCTCAGGCTATTAACTCTTCGCTGGGCAGCGGGCAGCAGGCGTTTCAGGCCCTGCCCAGGGTGCCCTGGGTTGCGCCCGCACTACGCCAGGGGAGGCTGCCCCGTTGCAGTGCAGGCGGGGTCGTGGCTGGAGTAAACTGGCTGGCTGCAGCCTTTAGCCAACAAACGGCCCAAATAAAACAGAGTCACCTATTTTGGACGGGCCGGGGAGGAGGGGGTAATGTTGGGGGGAGCAATTGGGCAGCCCTGTAATGGGAGTCATAATCGCCGCTAACTGACCCCCTGCTTGGCACATTGGCAGAGGGGGGCCAAGGACGGACTGGGTCAGTGGAGACCAAATGCCCCTCTCCGGTTACAGCACAGAGGGAGAGGCCAGCGACGGTACTGCCTGTGCTGTGGCTGATTTCTGGGGCCGTCTGTGGCTGTCACAGCCCAGGAATACCAGCCTGGCCTGGGCACAGCACCATACCCGCTTTTGCAGTGGGGAGAGGAGATGCCCCTATGCCTGGGGAATGCCACGCTGCTCCCACCATACTGACAAAAAGGGTAGGCCGTGCTAATGACCCTTCTGGATGCCATTTCTCCTGCCAGGGCAGAGGAGCTGAGATTTCAGCAGGTTTCTGAAAAGCCACAAAGAGTTAAAGCACCTCTGAAACATGGAAATGACAGGTCTCCTCCACCCACACACCTCTCACTGTCATAGGACAAAGGGCTTGAAGTGATCTGGGCCAGACTGCATGGGGGCGGGTAGGTGAGGAGAAAACACGCCCCCATCAGCCCGGATCGAGTGGGGTGGTGGGGGGAAGAGGAGGAGAGTGATTCAGACTCTTGGCTCACAGGGGGAAGTGGAAAGCAAAGGCTCAGGTCTAACCCCTGCATTGCCCCTCGCCCAGGAGAGCAAATTCAGGGCCAAGAAAAGCACTAGCGAGCTGTGAAGCCTCCCAGAGCAGGTCATAACCCAGCATCTCCTCCAGAGCCTGCATTCTACGGGGCCGTTGCAAATGAATGGGGTTTTACAGCTGGTCAAGTGGGACAGATGGGGCCGGCTAGAACAAGACACAAAGGTGGCAGGCACCTGGCAAGGTTTTCCCCATACAGCCCCCTGTAGGTTTTCCCCATGCAGCTCTGCCAATGCACTGAAGTCCCGTCCCGCAGGCCCCCACTAGCCCAGCCCAGGGCTCCCCGCACCCCACAGCTCCTCTGGTGCCCCTCAGCCTGGCCTCACGGTGCACTGTCTATCCTAGCCACAGGCCTGTTCTGAACAGACAGCAAAATTGTTGCACACTGTACAGTAGTTTTGGGGAGCAGATGCATCTCTGCTTGGCTGCAACCAGTGGATCTGATTTCCCTGGGGTGGCCAGCGAAGAGGCTGCTCGGAGGCTCCAGCTGGCAGTACCCATTGTGTGATGAGTGGGGAGGGGGCTCCGGCCTGCCCATAGCAGGCACTGTCTCCACATCACACAAACCACCTCATTGGTCACCTCAGCTGGGCGGCCACAGACTGGGTGGTCATTGAAACGGCACCTGTGGGCCCTGCAGGGCAGGATGTGTGGTGCTTGCCCTGCTCCCATCTATGCTGCACCCACTCCGGGTATGTGCCAAGGTGCTTGTGCCCCTCTCTGGCTTTAACCCCTCACCCCATGCATTGTAGGGCAGGGCCCCCCCCCCACCTCAAGCCAGCACAGGCTCCCGTCACGGCCAAAACTGAGGACTTGTGAAGGCCCTCCGGTGCAGGCACTGGAGAAGCCAGTGGAAGTCTGGCCCTGCCAGACAGCAGCTGCCTCCTCCTTGCAGCCAGGGCAGGGCACTAGCCCTGCTCCAGGCCCTGAGGAGGTTTCTCCACGCTGGCCTGGGTTGTGTTTGCTTTGGCTGCCCAAGCTCAGCTCCTGCCAAAGCTGGCAACAGGAGCCTTAGGGGTGGGCAGGGGGGTGGCGGTGCCAGCAGGGAACACAGTGCAAGGGGCAAGGTCGGGGCAAAGGCACATGCCTGGGCAGCGGGGAGGCCAGCATTGCCAAGGGGAACTGGGCTGAGAAACCTCCAGGGAGGGAGAGCACATGGGCTGCTGGGCCTGCCCCATGGACACCCAGCAAAAGGAGCCCGTGGCCTTCCCTATCCCCTTCCCCACTCCTTCCAGCCCCCCCATCCCCTCCCTTCAGCCCCCACCCAACTGGCTGCACAAACCCCTCCTTCCCTAGTACTAGGTTTACAATGGCTCCAGTGGCTCCATGGAACCAGGCCTATGCTCAGAAGGGGCCCCGGCCTATGCTCAGAAGGGGCCCCGGCCTGCTCTGCTTGCACTGCGCCCTGAGACCCCGCTGGCTTCCCCCACCCACCACTTGCTCCTCTCGTCCTACCTGCAGGCTGGCTGAGGGCTCCCCTCCACCCCTTGGCCCCACCCCCTGCTCCTCTCAGCCCCCTGGCCGGACCCCAGTGCACCTCCAGCCTTGGGCAGTCTCTGCTTCCTACCACCTATGGGGCCCCACCTGTCTCCCCGAAGCTGAGCCGCTTGGGACTGGTGCAGAAGCCTGGCCAGTCTCAGTCAGGTGTGGGGAGGAGACAGTGCGGGGAGCTTGGCTGGGCCCCTCCAGGCAAGTGCATCTTGAGGGCCCCCGGCCGAGGCAGGTCCTGGCCTGGCTGATTGCACCACTCCCGAGGGGATGGAGTGATTCCCAGCCCTGGGACCAACCCTGCCTGCGCTGCTGGCTCAGCCCAGCAGACACACTCGCCTCCAAGCAGGGCCCGTGAGTGTGGCTGGGAGGCAGGGCTTGGGGGAGTGGGTCTGTGGGGAGTAGCGGGGGGTGCTGGGCTGTGAAGGGGCAGGGAGGATCTGTGTGTGTTGGGGCACTAAGGAGTGGAGATTCTATGGGGGGTGCTGGGCAGTTGTGGTTGGGTCTAGGAGGGGAAGCTGGGCATAGTGGGTCCATGGGAGGCTCTGGCCATAGGGAGTTGGGGGGTCTTGGGTGGGGGGGGTGTGTGGCATCATATGGGCCTGCCCCCAAGGGGACATGCTGGCAGCACAGGGCCAGGCGGGCCACTGTGCATCTGGCAACTGCCGGTTTGTAAATAGTGCCCTCGCACTGGGCGGAGCATGGCTTCCCCTGCCATGCCATGCCATGCCCCGCCCCGCCCCACTGCCTCCGGCTGGCCTTTCGCTCTGGGGACTGACCTCCCTACACCATGCTCCACTGCCTCCATGGGGTCCCACAACTATGTTTGGTGCCGGACCCATAAAAGGCTAATCCGGCCCTGTCCTTCCCCTTTCCCACTGAACACTTGCCTCAACCCCCATATAACCCCTTCCCCTCACTGTCCCATGGTACTTTGGGCATGTTGCCTAGCGGGAGTGGGAGTCAGGCTGGAGCCCTCTGTCCCCTCATCTCTCCCATCCTCCTCTTCTCCTTCCCCTTCCTCCCCTCCTCTGTCCTGGAACACCCCCTTGTTCTTGCCATTCTTGCAAACTGCACTGGAAGGCCAGCAGCCGCATGCAAGTCAAGCCCGGCCTCATCTTTGAAATTATTAGTAGGTAATGAGAGAAAGTGCCAGCCACTCAGCCGCCCTCCCCCTACTGACCCCAGCTCCATCCCGTCCAGCCATGTGCCCAAGCCTGGCAAGCTGCCGGGGCCCTTCCCCATGAGGCCACCATGCCTGCAGCTCCAGGACTTTTTCTAACGAGACTCCCGAAAAGCCCTGTTGGGCTGTTGCCCCCTGAAAATGTACCCTCAAAGCATCATGGGGGAGACATGCCCTGCAAAAACACACAAAAACCAAAGACACCAAGCTGACCCTGGCAGAGAGGAGCCAACTATGTGATACTGCAGCTACCTTGCCTGTGCACCTGGCTGGCTGGCACACACTAAGCAGGGTTGGGCTAGCCAAGACTTGGGTGAGTGACCACCCCACAACCCCCAGTTGCTATAGAAAGTGGGGTGGGGTACTCTCAGCTGGTGCTGTGTTGCAGGGAGTATAAGTGGGTGCAGGGCTGGTTCTAGAGTCTCATTACTGGATCTACTTTGGGGACCCTGGATGTCACTGAAAAATAAAACAACCCCGTGGCCAGGTGTGTGTGTTAGACCAACGGGAAATCTTGGATTTTAAGCATTTACCAAAGTAAAATTTAACACCTGGCTCTTGCTCTGTGATTTCTATTATAGAAAGGATGAAGACTGGCATGTTTGGGCTTTTCTGACAATAATTTGGGGGCCCTAGAAAGTTGCTGGGGGGGTAAACACCCCCATACCCTTCCAGTAGCACCAGGCCTGAGTAAGGAGCTCAGTAGGGGGCACGCTCCCCTCAGTCACTGCTGACCCCAATGGGACGCTCAGGATGCCGTGTTTCAGGGAGCAGAGGGGGTTAGTCAGTAGGGGACGCTCTCCCATCAATCATGGCCACTCCCCGGGTGCTGCTGTATCTCAGGCCAGCTGTAAAAGCAAGGCCCCTCCCCTAGTGCTGGTACCAACACAGGGTGATCATGCCTGGGGCATGGGGCAGTGCTGGTATGGGGGGGGTAGCACCCAACGCATGTGCACTGTTTAAGGAGAACACAAAGACGAGTGGGCAAAGACAGCCCCCCTCCCTACTGGCTTCACACCATACTGAGGGGCATGAGACCAAGGGGAAGGGAAACATCCCAGAGCAGCAGGCACCCCACTGAGCCAAGTTTCCAGCACTCAGATCCAGGGTCTGGCAGCAGGGGGTGAGCTATGTAGCTCAGTGCAGCACCCTGCAGTGCATGAGCAGGGCCAGCTGTCAGAGAGGGGTCTCACCTCCTGTAATTAACCCTGAGCCCCCAGCCGCATGGCTTCCAGGGAAACCACCCCAGAGAGGGTCAGTCACCCACTGTGGTTTCAGCAGCCCCAGCTTTCCTCCTCACTGCTGGCCTTGAACCAGCATGCAGCATTACTGTACGCAATAAAAACACCCCTGTGTATCTCCCCAGCACTGGCTGCATTTCAGCCCCCAGCAGCAGAGAATCCATGCAGAAACCACACTGCTGGCACACAGGGCCACCAGTAGTTTTATGGACAGATGTTGGAGGGCAGGCCTCCCATGAGGTACCAGCCTCTGTACATGGAACAAGGCAGAGGCTGAACGATAAATGACCTGGCTGGGCTGTGGAGACGCGGGGCTGCCTGCTGCCCCCCCTTGCCCTGGAGCTGCAGGCATGACTCACACCAGCTCCCAGCCTTAGTGCCCCCTCCACAAGCTAGCCTTCCCCACAGCAGTCTTCTGCTGCCATCCCAGGGGGAAAGGGAATCCAGCCCAGCGGGAAGCCACTGCCCAGCCAGGGAGAGTGCACACCCTACAGGAGCAGGAGACCTCACAGGTAGATGTCTCCTTGCCGTGTGCCAGGAGCTAACAGAGGGCAGCTCAGTGAGCTGGGGAGGGAGGGGTGCTTGGTACTGTACACGCTGGCTGTTGAGTCATACACCAGGGACCAGGAGAAACAGGGAATTGTCAGCATTGGGGGATGGGGGGGAAAATGGTCTGGACTTGATGCAGATATAGTTGCCTCGCTATCCCAGGCACTGTGCCAGCCAAGAGGGGCCCAACCAAAAGCCCCCGGAACGCCTGCCCCAGCCTCCCCTGCAGCAGGGGTGGGGAAATGGGGCTGCCCCCTGCTCCCAGGGCAAGGGGGAGCCGCGCCGTAAGCAAACAGCAGCCGCCTGCTCTCTCGTTCCGCCTTTAATGGTGAGGTAAAGCACTTTGGTTTCTTGATGACAGAGGCAGGGGGCTGGTTCCTGGGAGGCACCTGGCCCAGCCCCTGCCTCACTCAGGCACTGAAGGGCATATCCTCCTACAGCCCATAAACTCTGCCCCCAGGGGGGTTTCCAGACACATACAGTAGTATTTGTCACATCAGGCCTTGCCTCCCCGACACTCCTCTGCTCACTGCCTATCCACCCCCCTCCTTACAACAGAAGAAGGGCCCTGCCATCCCCTTGCTCCTCCACACCCCACAAAGGCTAGGGTAGAGCTAGGGGGCACCCCACACCCCCTGTGCAGCTTGGCTCATGCTGAGAGGCCCCTGGCCCTCTGCTGAGCCGGGGAGGGGATGAGCATCCCCCCCACCCACACACCATGGGGCCAGGATCTGTATTGGGGCACACCCAGCAGCAGGGAAGGAGGGGCGACCTGGCCCTGGGGGATGAAGCCAGTCCAGGGCACAGCCCTTGTATTTCCACACCAGGGCAGATCTTCCCCGACTCCCAGCTGCAGGCTGCCCCCTACCCCTACATCACTGCCCAAGAACATCCCCCATCCCCCAGCTGCAGGCACTCTGCTGGCCAGCAGGGAGCGCTGGAGGGACCTCTCGCCCCCTCGGCTGTGGCACAGGTAGGGGGCCACCTCCAATAGATCCACTACATCGGCACTAAATGAAATACAAAAGGCTCCTGGGTTCTAAGTCTGTCTGCCCCACGGAGGGGCACACCAGGCTCTGGCTACAAGTGCCATCTATTGCACCCATGCCCCTGCCATGCTAAGCACCAGAAGACTGCCTACTGCCACGAGGACCCGAGTAAGGGGCCGAGCTAGTCCAAGCAGGCCAGGAGCCCCAGCACCAGGAGTCCCAGAGTGGCACAGGTCGGGCAGGCTCCACTGTTGTGGGTGCTCAGCTGCCGCTCGCACGCGTCCCCATGCCAGCCCTGGTAACACTGGCACCGGAAGTGGGTCCGTAGGTATGCGGTGTCGGTGGCAGACAGCTCCCCCTCCACCCGCAGCATTGGCTGTTGCCCGTCGGCCTCACCCCGGTGCCGGATCTGGAAGCTGAGCGGGTTGAGGTGGAGGAAGACGTTGGCGGTGCTGTCCCGGCGCAGGCAGCGCCCCCAGCCCTGGCACAGTGCCTGGCTGCAGCGCTGAGCCGCTGTGGTGACGTTGACGATGTAGTGACCCAGCTCCTCCTCCAGGTAGGCCTTGATAGTCCGGCAGGTGCTCTGGGAAGGGAATGAGGGGTGAGCAAGAGCCAGAGGAGAGCTGTGGCCTGACTACCATGGCAGGCCCTGCTAGGAATCCAGGGGCAGTTCAAGCCCACCAATAGCACTGCCAGGCGCTAGCATTGTTCTTTCACCTACCTTCAGATACCCAGGGGCTGGCAGCACTATTGCTGCATGCAGGGGGTGGCACTACCCTATGCCCAGGCCAAGCCAGGAGGCAGAAATGCTGAGCAGGCCAGGATCGGCAGGGCCCCAAGGAGACTGGCAGCTTCCTCTGCCCCACTGATTGCAGTGGGTCAGACACCATGGGATGCTCAGACCTCATGGGCACAGACCAGAGCATCCAGCAAGGCCACAACACACACTGTGCACAGCCCTAGCAGGCAGATGCAAGCAGGGCACCGGGCCCAATCCCGTTTCAGTCTTTGACTCCACAGGGGGCAGGAGCAGGCCTGTTGAGAGGCGCTCCCCATGCTTGATACCAGAGCTCAGATGGCAGGTGGATGCTTCCCTACTGCGGGCGGAGGGGGAGCTGTCCTTCCCCGGTACCTACTTGGCTCTTGGTGTAGTCTGCATCGCCCCAGAAGATGGCACCAGCTGCCCCCAGGGCTGCGCTCTCGCCGATGGTGGAGACCAGGTCCATCTGCCAGGGAGGAATCCAGACAGAGCCAATGGTTAGGGTGGAAACTTGCAGCAGGAGGTAGGCAGGCGCAGCTCCCCGAACCAACCTGCATACTCTAATCTATTGCTTCCACCTGAATACTCCAGAGGCAGGAGGCTCAGGCCATTGGCTCACGTGGGAGGGCAGTGCCGCAGCAGTCAACCCCTGGTTGGGGGGGTGGTGGTGGTGCTGCTTAGACTCCAGTTAGGCTGCGCCAGAGACTTGAGCTCTCTGCTAGTCTCTGAGTAGGGCTAGGCCTGGCCAGGACCGTGCCAGGAGGCCTCCTGGGTGGCACTAGTGCCGTGCTGGGGTGTTAGAGGCAGGTGCTTTTGGGCACGCTAACTTGCCATTAAAGATCTCAGTGTACTTTTCCTGCTTACTCCCCCCCCCGCCTCCAATTCTGCTGCCCAAATCCCAGCTCCCTACACTGCACCTCCCTGATTGCTCCCCCATCTCTTCCCCAGTCCAGCTGCCTGGGGGATTCTCCATAACATGCCCCACACTGTTGCTGGGTGCTGTTAGAACAGCTGCTGAACTCTACCCCAGAGATGGCTGCCTTTCTGGCACCAGGGAGAGCAGTCCCACCCTCCCCGCTTACAGTCCATGAAGCAGCTGGGGGTGAAAGGTTGCCAGTTACCCAAGATATGAGATATCCCAGGGCTGCACCCAGCCTAGTCGCACGTGGGGGTGGAGCATCCCCATCCCATGCTCCTCACATTCCTGCCTCTCCCTTCCTTGCCCCCGGCCAGCATGCATGTTCCTGGGCTAGGCCTAGCCACCAGGGCTGCTGAGACAGCAGGTGGCCTGATGGAACAAGCCCTGAAAGTCGGGCAGGAGGGAGGCGTCTGGGCCTCACAGCACTGGGAGCCACCAGCAGCCAGGAAGCTGCCCTGAGAGTGCCAGAGGTGGGAGGCAGGGCATCCTTGCAGCTCAGCTCCTGCCTGGGATGGGGGTGGGCGGCTGCAGGATTAACTTGTCTAGCAAGTGGGACTGGTGGAGCAACTGAGAACCAGGCTCTGAGCAGCCTCCCCACACATACCTGGCTGCTGCAGCCCCCCCGAGATCCCAGGCCTGGGCTCCCTGCATACAGCTCTGCCAGTGCCCCTCAATCCCAACCCACAGCCCCCTGCTATCCCTGCCCCAGGCTCTCCCCACACAGCCCTGCCAATGCCCCTCAATCCTGACCCACAGCAGCCCCCTGCTATCCTAGTCTCACAAAGGGGATGTAGCCTATTAAAGTCCCTTCACGTCACATTAATCCAAACAGAGCCAGCTCTTCAGCACAGAAGTTAGTGCAGGGGTTCTCAACAAAAATTTTGGTGGCTTCGGAGTGTGACCACCAACTCTTGCTAGTGCCACACTGACACTTTTTCCTAAAATACTTAATTAACTTTAGGAAAAACAAAAATATCCACATCTACACATCCAAATCATTGTCATTTATTTATGTAGGGTGGGTTTTTTTGGGGTACAGACTCAAAAATAGTGCTGTGAAAAGTGATATTTGTATGTTGGTTAATATCACTTTTCACAGCACACTTGGTAGCTAGCTGGGTGGCTGTGATAAGTCTGCTGGGAAAAGTGATACTTGCTGAGAACAGTGATATTAACAAACATGCAAGCCCCAGGACAAATTAAGGCCTGGATGGGGCGGGGGGGGGGGGGGGGTCAGAGCAGGAGCGGCACCAGGGTTTTTGCCGCCCTAGGCGGCAGTGCTCCTCCTCTGAGCATTCGGCGGTGGGGGTCCTTCCGCTCCACATTTTCGGGGCACTTCGGCGGTGGGTCCCGGAGCGAGTGAATTTCCGCCGAAGACCCAGAGCGGAAGGACCTCCCGCCGCCGAATTTCCGCTGAGGGCGGCAAAATGCCACCCCCCAAATCCTGCCGCCCTAGGCGACCGCCTAGGGTCGCCTAATGGAAGCGCCGGCCCTGGGTCAGAGGAGGAAGTAGTGGGGGCCTGGGGCCATGGATGCAGGGCCAGGGGAGACAGCAGTGGCCCAAAGCAAATGGGGGAAGGAGGTGGTGTGCCTGCATGGCTGAAGCCAGGGGTCAGTGCCCATGGTTGCATGGTCAGAGCCAGGGGCCATGCAGCTGAAGCTAGGGGTCGGAGCCTGCTGCCTCACAGCAGGGGCTAGAGGTCAGCACCAAGGGTCGGCTCTGCGACTGGAACCGGGGACCAGAGCCTGAAGCTGGGGCCACACGGCCAGAGCAGAGGGTTGGCACCTGCATTCCCATGGCCAGGTTCCTGAAGGCCCACCACTGGATCCTGCTGCCTAACCACCCCAGGGCTGAGCCCTACCACCCCCTATCAAGGTGGGTTGAGAACTTGCCTTGCTCCTGCAGCGTTGTACCCCACCTGTCTCCAGAGGCAGTGCAGGGGGGGAAGAAGAGGTTGATTTTCCCTCCCCCCGCCCTTCACTCCCCAGGAGGCTCTTGTGGCCATGCAAAAAACCCCTGGTGGCTGCATGTGGCCACAGTGCCACATTTGAGAAGTGCTGGACTCGTGGATTTCAGAGCAACGCTGGGCAGGAAGGGACCTCAAGAAGCCGTCAAGTCCAGCCCCCTGTGCTGAGGCAGGACCAAGTAACCCTAGACCAGCCCTGACAGAGGTTTGTCTAACTTGTTCTTAAAAACCTCCAGTGACAGATTCCACAACCTCCCTTGGAGGCGATTAGTCTTTGTCCTACTGTCAGTGGCTATGGAGAACAATCAATCACCATCCTCTTCGTAACAGCCCTTAACATATTTGAAGACTGGTATCAGGTTTCTCCCCCCCCCCCCCCCCCCCGTCTTCTTTTCTCAAGACTAAACATGCCCCAATTTTTTAACCTGTCCTCACAGATCAGGTTTTCTAAGCCCTTGATCATTTTTGCTGCTCTTCTCTGGACTCTCTCCAGTTTGTCCACATCTTTCTAAAGTGTGGTGCCCAGAACTGGACTCAACACTCCAGATGAGGCCTCATCCATGCTGAGCAGGACAATGTCCTCTCATACTACAACACTCCCGTAAAAAATATCCCAGAATGAAATTAGCCTCTTTGGGGGAGGTGGGCAACTCTACCACATCAGTTTGATCCACTCTAAACCCCAGGCCCTTTTCAGCTGCACCACCACCTGGGGCGGCCGGCCGGAGCCGGGGGGGGTGTAGCCAGAGCCCCGGCGGGGGGGGCAACCGGAGCCCCGGCGGGGGCTCTGCTCTCCCCCCGGCGGCCAGGGGGAGGGCGGCCGGAGGGGAGGGCCGCGAGCCCCGGCGGGGGCTCGGCTCTCCCCCCGACCCCGGCGGCCAGAGCGCCGGGGGCAGGGCCGCGAGCCCCAGCGGGGGCTCGGCTCCCCCCCCGGTGGCCGGGGCGAGGGCGGGGGGGGCGGCCAGAGCGCCGGGGGGAGGGCGGCGAGCCTGGCTGTGGCCCCGCTCTCCCCGGCGGCCGGAGCGCCGCGCCGCCCCCCCTCCAGGTGCCGCCCCAAGCACCAGCTTGGGTGCCTGGAGCCGGCCCTGCCAGTTAGTCCCCATTTTGTAGCTGTGCATTTGATTTTTCCTTTCTAAGTGTAGTACATTGCACTTGTCTTTACTGAAGTTCATTTTGTTGATTTCAGACCAATTCTCAATTTGTCAAGGTCCTTTTGAATTCTAATCCTGCCTTCCAAAGGGCTCACAACACCTCCCATCTTGGTGTCCCCTACATATTTTTATAGGCAAACTCCCCACTCCATCGTCCAAGTCATTAATGAAAATATTGACTAGCACTAGACCCAGGACTGATCCCTACAAGACCTCACTAGATGCACTCTCCCAGTCTGCCAGCTAACTATGAAGTACCATCTTTCAGCCAATTGCGCATCCACTTTATCGTAATGCTATCTAAACCCCATTTCCCTCCTTTCCTTATGAGAATGGCCAGCAGCCGGCTGCCCTGCTCCTTGCCAGTGCTATGCCTAAGCTATCACTAGGGCACTTGCCGAACACCAGCATCCAGTGTCTCATAATTAACCCTCTCATTGCCTCCATGAGGACTAGTGTGCCCATGTTACAGAAATGGAAACTGAGGGACAGGAGAGGATTTATTCAAGGTCAGAAAATTTAAGTGCCAGCATTGAGAATAGAACCCAGGAGTCCTGGCTCGCAGTCTCTTCTTCTAGCCACTAGACCCCACTCCGCAGCCAGAGCCAGGAATAGAACGCAGGAGTCCTGGCACCCAGTTCCCACTCTAACCATTAGAACACCTGGTCCTTCCTCCCCGGCACACAAGATCAGGCCTGTCCACTAAGAGGGGAGCTGCACTCTAGCAACAATATGTACTACAGAGAGAAGCAGCCTGCCACCCACAGAGACCCCATTCCCATCCCCCCCCCCTCCCCCCCAGAACCCCTCCACCCCCCAGAGCGCTTCCTGTGGGAAGCAGCCCCAGCCAGGAGCTGCACTCAGGTCACATGAGGAAGCATTTAGGCATATGCTGCCCTGGCAGGCAGCAGAAAAGGAGGACACAAACACCAAGAGTGGGGGGGGGGGGGGGAGAGAGAATCTGCCCAGCTGGGGTCACTCGTGTCCTCCCACTCATCTCCACCCCCTCAACATGCCCAGAAGGCCAGGCCCCCTCCCATGCAGGTAGGAGCCACCCAACTGGGCAGGACAGCATGGGGACCCCGAGAACCTCTGACTCCCAGCCTGCCCCAGAGATATGGCTTTGCAGCCCCAGCCATGCTAGCAGCTGGCTGTGTGCAGGGCCCCCTGGACTTCTACTCAGTCACTGACAGGGAGCGCTGTGCCCAGCAGAGCTGGCATGCTGGGCACTATAAATGGGCTGATGGGTGCAGCCGCTAGGGCCTCTGTGGTGCTTTGGGCCTCAGTGGCACCTTCACCCCCATCTCAGCAGCCAAACATCCCGCAGAGCCTCTGTGCAGAGAGGTGTCCCATGGGGCTTGGCTCAGCTTCCTCCCCCCATGCCTGCAGGGTGGGAGCGCAGAGTGGAGCAGGGCTCAGATCTGAGCCCATTCACATGGGCTCTGTTACAAGGGGGCCCTTTATACTAAACGGCTGGGAGTCCCTACGTCTCCTGTTTCAGTGAGGCACCCCATGTTACATCCTCAACAGTTAGAGAATGAGATTCTGTTGCCTCCTACCCCTACCCCATTGCTGCCAGGGAGCTGGGTGCCTGCTTTGCCCACCCACCACCTGCTAGCACCCAAGGCTCCTCCATGCTCTGCTGAAGAAGCCCACCCAGGGCACAGCCCTGCCCCATCAGCAGGGTGGTTGATGGAGCTGCTGTCCTGGCCCATGGAGCCCAAGCTCAATCTCCATATCGGGCTGGCAACATGAGTTACCCAAATCTACCACTCCCGCCTGTCACCCCAACAGCATGACTTGGAGCCCCACACAGGACAATGGGGAACCCCCTTGTGGCAGACACTGGCCTCTGCCTGCCTGCTCACAGCTCGGACGCGCCCCTGCCCCACAGGGAGAGACTGCAATGGCTTCTTACCCGAGAACGGCTTAATGTATCTGCAGGTCCTGCCACTAAGTGCCAGGCATGGATTGAGTGCCAGGCATGGATGGGCCAGAACAATGGTACCAGCACCACCCTCCCACTCCTGCCTTTTCTCCCCCACCACAGCCACCTCCCCGCCCATCATGCTTCCTCCCCCCCCCCCCCCCCCCCAGGCCCTTGTGGGGACAGTTACACCACGGGGCACCACGAAACTGACTTCCCAATGGAGATCCACGGCACTGCAGAGGGCGTCCTGTGGCAGCATGGACCTTCTACGCTGGGCAGGGGGGCTGGCTAACAGGGGCATAGTACAGGATGTGATCATTCCAGACTCTGCACCCCACCACAGCTCCATATGGCTCCCCCAACATGGGACCTTTCCCCCATGCCACACCTAGGTCCCAGAGAGCTCAGGCACCAGATTTTCAGCTGAGCTCTTAAGAAAATCTGGCTCTAGGTGATTTGCCCATGCTCAGGCAGGAGGGCCGGGAATGGAACCCAGGAGTCCTGGCTCTTGAGGCCATGCTCTTCTTCTGGCTGCCTCCTGAAGCTGGGCCCTGAAGGGTGGGATCCAGAAAGGGGAAGTCATGGCTGTCAATGTGCAGTTAGCCTGCACAGCGGCAGGGCCACAGCTCCCATTTCAACAGCTGCATTCCCCCCCGCCAGGAGGGGCATGGTAAGGTCAGGCCTTCCTCAGCCATGGCAACTCTGGGCAGGACCAGGGAGCTGGAGTGCAATCTCAGACCCACCTGGCTAACATGAGAAGATTCTCCCCCACCCCCTCCACTACTCATCCTTCTCTCCTCCACCCCAGCCTGCCAGGAAGGCCACAGAGCTGCCCTGTCTCAGCTCCCTTGGCTACCACCATGCAAGAGCCCTATGCCCAGGCAGCACAAGCAACAGGGCCGCTGGCAAGTCAGCTCAGATGCTGAGGGGCAAGTGGGACTGGGACCCTGCTCTACCCCATAAAAGCGCCACCAGCCCACAACAACGCAGGAAGGGCACAGCTGGGGTTGAATTTGAGGAGCCTTTGTTTAAAGCCTTGGATGGTGGGAAAAATCAATTCCTCCCACCCTCCCTGGCATAAATCACATGGGGCCTGGAAAAGACTGTGTAAAGTCCAGGGCCAGCTCCAGGCACCAGCTTACTAAGCAGGTGCTTGGGGCGGCCACTTCGGAGAGGGGCGGCACGTCCAGCTGTTCGGCGGCAATTTGGTGGACGGTCCCTCACTCCTGCTCGGAGCGAAGGATCTCCCGCCAAATTGCCACCACAGATCGCGATTGCAGCTTTTTTTTTTTTTTTTTAATTTGTTTGGCTGCTTGGGGCGGCCAAAACCCTGGAGCCGGTCCTGGTAAAGTCCGGCCCCTTGGTATGTTCTGGTGCCTTTGCTGTAATATGCTGGGAGGGTGTGTGATCACACTGCTCCCTAGTGGTGAGCCCACCCACTACCCTCTCCCAGAACCAGAGAGCTAGAGGCCCAGGTTTGGGCCAGGAAGAAGCAGGGTTCTAGCTCCAACATTTCTGGCAGAAATGGGTCTGCCCCTGGGGCGTGGGCGCCACCTTACCCTGCTCAGCACGTCCAGCTTACGGCTGTAGGTGGGCCTGGCGTAGACGAAGACAGGCAGCGAGTAGCCGTCGTGGTGCTGGTGGGAGATCCGCAGAGCCTCCATGACCCGCGAGCGCACGAACTTGCGGCCGTTCTCAGAGGAGGCCAGGACCTGGTCTAGGTAGATGGAAGGGTAGAGGGCTGTGCTCTCCTTCCAGAGCCAGGACAGCCGGTCATTGCGTGTCTTCTCCACGTCAGGGCAGCGCCCCGTGTAGCTGTCTGGGTTCTTGCTGTAGTCGTGGTTGTAGCAGTCCGGGAAGAGGTAGTAACCCCACAGCTGCTTGGGCCGGTAGCTCTTGGCGTACTGTAGCGTGCGGAGCATGAATTTCCGGGCCGAGCTCTCAAACTCGTACTGGGCCTCCTTGTTCACCACGTCCTCCTGCCAGTCGGGGTGCCGCGACAGCACCAGCTGCCGGGAGTTCTTGCGGTAGATGTCTTTGTTCTGCCAGTTGCGGATCCAGATGGGCCGCCATTCCTCCCAGTCAATGACAGCCAGCCCTTCCTTGGCCTCTGAGCGGATGTACTTGCGGATGCCCTCCTCGAGCCGGTCCAGGTGCTCCCGGAGGCTGCTGTTCTGGGGGACACCCCCATTCACAGCCACCTGCTGCTCATCATAGTAGGGGTAGAGGCCCAGGCGCTCCTTGTAGAAGATGGTGAGGTTCTGGTCTACAAAGCCCTCGTTGGGCGAGGCCTGCAGGTCAAAGAGGCTGAAGTCCAGCTGGACCTTGAAGCGGGGCCTGCAGTCCTGGGTGGGTGCGTTCCAGGCCACAATGAAGGGCTTCCGGGTGAAAAGGGGGACAAAGGTTGGCTTCTCATCCTGCCCACGGCCGCCAGTGACAGCAAGGACCAGGAGCCATGGCACTGCCAGCGCAGCGCCTCCCCGCATTCTCTCTCACTGGGCTGCTCAGTCACAGGATGGCTTCAGGTCACAGCCTGCAGAGGGACAAGGCTGTAAGAGGGTAGGGCAAAAGGCACTCCCCCACCCTGCTAGCAATAGAGCTTTGCAAGCTTCCCCCAGTTCTGCCAATGCCCCGAAGCCCCCCTACTATCCCAACCCCACAAACTCAGCTTTGCCAATGCCCCTCCAATCCATTGAGGTACTCAAATCGTCTGCCACTGGCCCCCATGTGAGCACCTCACAAATGTCAGTGCATCTCTGCTCTGAACTGGGGAGAATACTTTTCCACTTTGCTGAAGGGAAACTGAGGCACAAAGCTCAAGTGACTGGCCCACGGCCATACAGGACAACTGCAGTGGAGCTGGGAACTGAACCTAGATCTCCTACATTGCAGACTAGCATCTCAGACCCCAGACCAGCCTTCCTGCCCTACTCTGCCAAGGCACTTTGGTCCTGACCTGCCGCAACCCACCTGAGCCCAGTACGACTTGATGGGCAGCAGAGACTCATCCTTAGGAGGGGAAGCTTCCAGCCACAAAATCTTCCAGCACCAATACAGGTACAGGGCTGGGAGCAGTCCCAGACCCAGGTCTGTCAGCACAGCAGGCTGAACAGCCTCCCCAACCCCAGCAAAGGGCCGGCTCCAGAGCTCAGGTCCAACAGTACAATTCCAGCATAGCTTTCTTGACAGTCCCACCAGCAAGAGCCAGGCCCCATCATACAGCAGGCACGTAACCTCCCTGGAAGGGAGCTTGCAATTTAGGGCCTGGTTCCGATCTCTCCCACACGTGGCGCCGACTACTCGGGTCGAATCACTCCGGATTGAGGCTGGCGGTAAACCGGTAGGATCGGGCCCCACGCCGAAGGTTTGAAGCCCTAAAACATCCCAGGAATGTGCGGGCCTTCGCTTATCAGCGCAGTCGGTGGGTCGGACACGCTTTGTTCCAGACCGATCCCTCCCTCTCCCCCGGCTGCGCCCTCGTGCGACCCCCAGACCCCCGCCGCAGCTCCGTCGGGGTGTGCCAGCGAGGACACCTTTTGTTCGGCAGCTCCGCGCACGGAGCAACAGGCTTCGCACGAGCTGCGGGGCAGTGCGAACTTTTTTCCATTGCAATAACCTGCGAGGCCAAGCGATCGGCGAGAAGCAAGAGCCGGAGATCAAATAGCAAAGGGGGAGCGGGGGGAAGGGAAAAATGTGGGTGTCAGCAAAGCAAGCGCTCGCACAAAGCCGCACAGAGCAGCCCCAAGGAGCGGTGTTGCAGCGAGAACAGATCTGCTCTCAGCCCGGCCGGCAGGCTAGCGGCACAAATCACAGCACGGCGCAGAGCCGGGAGAGGGAATCCGTGCAGCGGCGCGTCCGGGAGAGAGCCGGGGCTCCCCAGAGTTACCAGCTCCCCAGGCTTGGGGGGGGGGGCTGCCCGTTGGGCCCCCCCTCGCCAGACCCCCAGCCAAGCCGCACGCCGGGATCCAGACCGCAAGCTGCTGGAGCGGGGCAGGGCAAGGCAGGGAAACAGAGGACCTTCCCCGGCCACCCAGGGCTCCGCTCCAGAGCGGGACGCTCGCCGGGCAGCGGGGGAGGTCGGCAGCCCCGGCGTTAGAACCGGGGCCGGTGGGAGCGCCCCACGCCCCCCAGCGCTGCTGCCTCCCGCCCCGCTCCCGGCAGCTGGGAAAGTTCCCGCCCAGTCCCGGCCGGGCCCCAGCAACTCCCCTGCGCTCCGGGCGCGCACTCACCTGAGACTCAGCTCCCCATTGCCCCCCCCCCAGCGAGCCCCTTTTAAAGGGCCACGAGCCCAGCACCGCCCCGCTCGTCGCTGCCGGCCTCGGCAGCCCCTTTAAAAGCCCAGAGGCTGGAGCGGCCTAACGTGAGCTGAAGGGGAGGGGAGATCCCCAAGGAGTCCCCCCGCCTCCAGGGAGGCACTGGCTCAGCGCGCGGCCTACTGGCCGGAAGCGGGAGGGAAGTCTTGCGGCCCCTGGCTCGGTCTGCAACGTTTTTAACGCTCCGTGGCAACGGGGACTGTACTTTTTTTTGTGCCCTAGTCCTCACCCCCTTCCCCAGCCGACAGGAGCCACTTGGTACAGCCCGGCGGTCTTGGCATGCCAGGCGCCGCTTGCTACTGAACTACAGGGGGCGGCGCGCGCCGGGGCAGGGCGGGGCTGGGGGAGCGGCCGGGCCAACAGAGCCCGCCCAGGGCGGCAGTTAGGGGAGCTGCGAACTGCTGCAGCGCCGGCCTCTGCCCGCAGGGGGCGCTGTGGGGAGGGTCACTGGCTGTGTGGGTGCTCCTAGCTACTCCAGCCCCAGCGTCTCCCAGCATGCGGTGCTGTGGGTAGCGGGGCAGAGGGTGCTGGCTGTGTGTGTGTGGGTCCAGGCTGTCCCAGCCCAAGAGTCCCCTGCGATTCCAATGTTCGGAGCCCGTTTTCTCCGGGCGCTGCAGACAATGGGGCAGGCATGTCTGCTGCCTTGCCCTCGCCCAGCAGGAGTTGGTATAAGGATTGACTTGGGAGCACTGGCTCTCTGATCAAGTCACAAAGCGGTTGTTATGTCAACGTCTGGGAATCCCTAGGAACGTTTGTTTCGTTATGGACTCTACATAAACATCTGCTGGGGGAACAATGTCATCCGCAGTGAATGGCCTTTGTCTCGGGAGGGCCATTTTCCTTCCCAGGAATGCGCCCGCCAGTCTGCTGGGTTCAATGGCTCCCCCAGAGCCCTGGCAACTGGCTGCCGGGGCAGGGCTTGGCATGCCAAATGGCTGGCACGTTCCAGCCAGACGGCGTTCTGGAACCCCTCCAAAGTGCCACTAGAGCTCAATCAAAACCAACTCTTCAGAGCCAGAAGGCCAAGCGGCTGGATCTTCTCCCATCACAAGGTTATTTGCATGTTCTTGTGATAGCAGAAGCCGACGGCGCTCAGGGGTTCAATGGGGCTTGTCTGAGTTTGGCGGCTGGCTGGTGTATGGTGCCAGCTTGGGAACCTGCAGACACAGCATGCTGAGCGATGAGCCCTTGTTGAGTTCAGCTGCAGTCGAGGGTTTTCCTCATCTCTGGAAATCAGGCTTCTGTCTAACTACATAACAGAGCCACTGCTTTCCCCATACCACCTGGCCAGCGGGCCTCAACCCTGTCGCAGAAGGGCCTTGAGACCCATGGTGTCCCAGGCCTCTCTGCTGAGAGTGCCACCACCAGGAGCAGAAATGGTGCTTGTCAGCTCAGGATGTCTCCAAGGCTTTACACTTTGCTTGAACCCTCCTCTCTGGGAGCCCTGGGCTGTGACAAGGAACATGGGGGTTAAAGAGACAGTGCTGCACACTGGATTCCTTATTGATTAAAGCCTCCAAAAAGTGCCTTCAATCACCTACGGTACTGGGGACTGGGATGGCTATGGAGATGGAGTCCCTCACCTCTAGGTCCCTAGTTCCATAACCCAGCCAGGTCAAAGAAGACCAAAGAGCCTTGCCTTGGGGTAGCTGATCAGTGGCCTGTTGGCCATGAATTAGATGGGGAGGGATGTCCCAGTCCATTTCCAAATGGGCCAGAGTATCTACGTGACACCCACTGCCACCAAACCTGCCGGCACTCCCAGCAGCGAGACCAAGAGCTGAGTCGGCCACAGGGTCCCTCTGCAGTAGGGAAACGGCCCACAGGCTGACCTAGGTGGCCCACTGCAGATCTCTCTTGATCCACCCAGGATTGCTGCTGCAAATGGGGATAGTAGGACGAGATCACTGGGGACACCGTTACAGGGTGCACGACCGGGCCCCAGTTCTCAAATGGTTTGGACCCATCTACAGTAGCACTTCCCTCAATGGTGAGGGTGGGTCCAAGGGGAATGTATTGATTGCTTTTGCTGGCCTCCAGCGGACTCCCCTGTCTCACACATAGACGTTGGTCTCTGCGGGGTGGGGCTGAGGCATGCGGGTGATATGGAGGCCGTTTGCCCTGCCGCTGCCCATGCTGTATCTTGGCTGCAAACAACCAGAGGCCTTTGAGCTCCAGGGCTGTCACCACAGCCCCAATCTCATCCCCCCCCCCCCCCCCCCACACACAATCCAATGCAGTTTTATGTTTGCACTGCCAGCTGGCCTGGGCACCTTCCCTTCCTTCCTCCGCTGGGCTCGCAGGGCATCAGGGAAATAACCTTGGGGCTTGCTTCTAGCTGGGCCCTGCTTTTCCAGCCACATGTGAGCCACTTACAAGCCACTGTGGGTGTAAAGTAATTAAGGGCTTGTCTACATGGGGAGTTTGACCACATACACTTAGTCCAGAAGTGCCTGCTGGTTTAGCTTAGCTCCCTTTGGCTGTCCACATGTAGGCTTACAGTGGTTTAAATTTACTCCCTTAGCTTCTACTGGTAGAACTTCCCGGGTGCATGAGTCTGAACAAGCAAACAGGATGAGGCCAACTGGTGACAGCTGGGGTAAAAACACTCCCTCCCCCCCGCCCCCCAAACACACACACACAGGGTAAGGAGCCATCGGCACCGTGGCAAGCCCAGTACAGAAGATCCACTCCCACCCCAGGCATTACTCGCTGGTTACACAAATGGAGGGACAAACAACAGGGCATCACATTAGGGCTGTTCTTAACAAGCAGCCACCCCACAGACAAGCACTGCTACCGCCCCACTCTACTGCTTCTGCTGGGAGAGGCGGGCCTGGTAACTGGGGGCTCCCCCCATACCCAGCGCTCCTGCCTCCTCCCCACAGCGTCCCCTGCTGGGAGAGGCTGGGGCTGGAGTAGCAGGGAGCTCCCCCCACAGCCAGCACTCCTTCCCCATGCCCCTTCTGGAAGAGGCCGGGGCTGGTGTAGCCGGGAGCTCCCCCCACAGCCAGCGCTCCTCCCCCACTCCCCCACTCCCCGCAGAACCCCCTGCTGGGAGAGGCTGGACTGGAATAGCTGGGAGCTCCCTCCACAGCCAGTGCTCCTGCCCCACTCCCTACAGCAGGTGCCAGAATCATCAGGGCAGAGTGGTACCAGCAATGCCCCTGAGCAGCAGTGGGTGGGTTCTGGCAGTGCATGCCCACCGGGTGAGGCCTAAGGCCAGGGAATAACAACACGGAGGAGAGCTACTGGATTAGCTGGTGCCTTTGTCCCAGCTGAGATGGATCTCCAGCAGCAGAGGAAATGAAGGGCTGCTGATCTGTAATCCGATCACAGCCCCCCACACCCCTGCACTGGGGAGGGGCAAGGGGGTGAGGCTGGACTCTGCAGTTCGGGGTGGAGGGGGTGAGCTCCCAGCGGGAGGAGGGGGAGGGAAAGGCACCAGGGCTAGGCTAAGGAAGGGGGCCAGGCCAGCCAAACAATGGGGGCTCCCAGAGGAACTGGCTGTGGAGCTCAGGGCTTTGTTCCACACAAAAGGCTCAGGAGGCAGCAGTGGGGCAGCTCCCAGCACCGAGGCTAGCCAGCCCACATTCTGGGAGCTGGGGGCTTTTTCAGCCCAACCCCAAGCCCCGCACATGAGCATAGGCAGCCAATTCAGGATGGATACGCACCTCCAGCCATGCCAACCACGCCTGCACTTCCCCTCGCCCCCGCCCAGAGCTACACCCCCTCATTACAGGCCCCAATTCCCACACTCCCCCCAATAAAGACTCCAATTCCCCCCCCCCCCTTCCCACCTTCGCCCGCCTCGGGCGTTTTGTTGGTTGATCTCGGTCGTCGCCGTA